TATTGGTGACGGTTGTGTAATTCCAGGGTTGAGTTGAGACCTGCCCTGGCCCAGCACCATTTATCGAGGAGGTATAAGTCACGGTGATTGGTTCTGAAGCTGTTGACCCCAGCACCTAGAAGAAGCGTCACGAGTCGCGATTCGCGAATCCCTGGAAAATTTTGCCGCCGAATCCCTTGGGCTTGGCGTGGAGGTGTCAAGGAAAACACGACACAACACGACTGCCGTCGATCTGCGATGTACGGTAGGGATGTGTCAAATGGTGACTCTACAGAAGGAGAATGGGAGCCGACGAACCGACCTCCTCGGTTGTACCGCGTCGCATTTGATGGAAGTGTGGGTGGATGGAGTGGACTGGTGAGTGGTGATGCCATCTCCCCTCGCAACAGCCATAAGAAACCACTTTCGCCACAACCCTTTTCATCTGCCAAGCAACTCTTTCCAACTGCAGGTTTTGCTGAGGAACATCGGCAGACTGTTCAAGCAACTCACGTGCCCTGAGTACTTGATTGAATAGTACTTCGGGCCAACTCATTTCACTGTGACCTGCTGTCGCGATGGTTTTAACCCGTCGACTGCCGCTCATAGTGCTTGCCGTGGTCGTCTCGTTCCTCCTCCACACGGCGACCTCGGACCTCCTGCTGCGACCGGAGCGCGTACCTCGCGCGCAGTTCCGCATCCGCTGCAACTTCAGCCACGCGGCCCGCAATGACCCCATTGTTTTTCCCGGTCAGCCCGGGAAATCGCACCTGCACGATTTTCTAGGCAGCAAGAAGACAAACGCCTTCACCACCGATGGTGAGTAGGGCTACCGTTAACGTTCTCCTGTCTTTCTTTCCTGATTCTTTTGTTTGTCTCGTTTTCCTTGCTTTGATAAAGCAATCATGCAACGTGATTCGTGCGACGTTATGCGACAGGAACGAAGCTGGTGGGCGGCGCGACGACGTGTGGTCTGAAGGCGGACGCAGCGGCGTACTGGTTCCCGTCGGTCTTCATGCGCACCAATCAGAAGGACGCCAACGGCAAATACATATACAAGCACGTAAGTTCAGCGCATTGTTTTTTTAGTTGCTCAAAGTCGACGCAGCGGCGTACTGGTTCCCGTCGGTCTTCATGCGCACCAATCAGAAGGATGCCTAAGGCAAATACATCTACAAGCACGAGTTTCTCAATGTCGCAGCGACGGGCCGTCGGTCTTGATGCACACGAATCAGAAAACGCCAACAGGGAAATACACCGTAAGCACGTAAGCTCACCCCTGGCAGAAACGTGGTGTGAGCACATGGCGCTCCCGCTGCGACGATTGCATGCTACATCGAAAAACAAAGCGTCAAATCGAAGACGATCGTGCTGCCGTATTCGCTTCGCGAGAAGAGGGAATCGCGCCCGGATTCGTGAGCACAAAGGATACGAAGACATGCTACTGTGCAACTTGGTAGTACTAGGCCTTGTGCGATCGTTGCTAAATCTCTTGTACAATGTTTTTCGCGCATGGCCTAATTTGGCGATCAGACGTTACTTGGTGACAGCGCGTGATTGCGCGATTGTCGCTGGGTGGTTCCCGAGGTCGCAGTCAAGGCAGCAAGACTCCTCCAGGCCACTTGATCTGCTTCTGATTCGCGTCCCCCTTCCCCTATGTGGTTTCCCAACGCGTGTGTGCGCGGGTTCTCTCTCCCCTAAACCCGAAACCCCTCTCCCCCTTGTCTTTTCCCCCAGTTTCCCCCTCTCCGCTTCCCCCTCCCCCCGTGCCGCAGTTAAAGCCTGATTCGGCGCTCTTCTACTACCGCACGCCATGAAATCTGGAACCTCACCAACTTACCTTTCCCCCTCTCGTCCTTCCCCCGTGTCCCCCTCTCCCCTCTCCGCCTCCCCCTCCCCCCGTGGCGCAGTTGGACGCTCACCGCACCGCACGCCATGAATTCTGGAACCTCGCCAACTTCCCCTTCCCCCTATCTCCCCCTCCCTTTCCCCATGCCTTTTCCACTCTTATGCGGCAGTTAAAGCCCAACTGGACGCTCACCTTTCAACGCACGTCTGTGAAGAACCCCGAGACCATCAAGCCCTTCCCGCTAACCTTTCCCATTCCTCTCTCTCCCCGCCCCTCTCTTCCACCCCTATCTTTCGCCTCATGTGCGGCAGTTAAAGCCCAACTGGACGCTATTCTACTACCGCACGTCGGTGAAGAACCCCGAGACCATCAAGCCCTTCCCGCCGGGCCTCCGCATGCTCACCGGCAACCCCTTCGCCGGCAATGTGCGTTCTCTTGCCACTGCCACTGTTGCTGCGCGCAAGCGTGCGCATACATGGACTCTGCTCGGGACTCTCCCGTCGTTTGTTTGGAATGTTGCATTCGTTCATCATCTCTCCTTCCCTCTTACCCTCTCTCAGCCCCAAACCCTTCGATCTATTCCTTTGTCATCCCAAGTCTTCGCCCACTACCCTCCCCCCCCCCCCCCCCCCCCCTCCTCCTCCCCCTCTCTCCTTGTACCCTCCTTCCCCGAAACCGACTCCCCATCCCCCCTCCATTCCCTCTGACGCGCACGCCCTGGTTCTTGCCTTCGCCGAACTCTCTATTCCCCCGTCGCAGAAGCAAGGCGGAAATCTTCCGTCGTGCACAACCTTGTTCTTGCATTCCCTCCTAGACAGCCCCCCCCTTCAACCCTCGTCTCCCCCACTCTCCTCTTTCCCCCCCTCTCCCCCATCGCAGAAGCAAGCCGACGACTTGGCAAACGTCGAATGGTGGTGCGGCGCGCGCGGCACGAATTTCAACGACTTTCCGCACCAGAAGTGCCCCGAGAACGACCAGCTGATCGCGACCAACCTTTTTTCAACAATCCCCCCCTCCCCCATTCCCCTCCCCACCCTCCCCTCCCCTCCTTCCCCCTCTCACCCTCCCCCCCGCGCCTCACACACCCCAGAAACAAGCCAACGATCTCGCAAATGTGGAGTGGTGGTGCGGCGAGCGCGGAAAGCACGGTAACGACTTCCCGCACCAGAAGTGCCCCAAGGGGGACCAGCTGATCGCAAAAATCAACTTCCCGGTCTGCTGGGATGGCAAGAACATTGACAGCGCGGATCACCGAAGCCACGTGGTGCATATTCCGCTCAACACCACGTGTCCGTCGTCTCATCCCGTGCCGGTCCCACGAATCAGCATCAAGGTTTATTACCCGGTCAGCAAAGATTTGGATTTGACGTGGCCGAAGGACGGGGTGAACGGAAATCCCGCGGTGTATTTGTCAACGGTGCAGAGCGGTGGAACTGGGAGTCCGTTCGAGTACCACAGTGATTTCATCAACGGGTGGGATCAGAAGGTGCTGACTCGCCTCGTTACAGACTGCATCAATAAGAATAAGAAGTGCCTGGTGCAGGAAGACAACGTGTAGGGAGGAGTGGGCTGAAAGGAGTGTAGGGAGGAGCGGGCTGAAAGGAATTCTTTGTTTACAGAATGTGGGTTTGGTGTGGCTGTGTGTTCTTGTGCACCACAATCAAATAAATAAATGAGTTTCCCTGGAGAGTGTTAGAGCTGCCACTCATGAAAACATGTTCCGAATGGAAACCATGCAAGCAGACGCAGCTGCTGCGCTGTATTAAGGCAATATTGGCATTTTTTAAATAGATACCAGAAACTGTGAACAAGAGAAAAACTCATAAACTGAGTGGCTAGCAGCGTGTAAAGCGGCCTAGTAACACCTCATACTCATGAACAACAGTCAGTGTACAAATACTGGAGTCTCAGCTAAAAGCAAGCATGAGTGGAAGAGGAACAATGTTGCTCTGATCAACAGGGAATTACAGCATTACGATACCAAACCCTCCCATTCCCCGTTGACCAGAGCAACACCCCTACACTGCTTTAGTATAGTGGTCTACACTCAGCCAGGGGGCAGTGAAACTCGCAAGGCTGGCCAGGCAGGGGAGGAATCAGTGTTGCTCGGATCAACAGGGAATTACAGCATTACGATACCAAACCCTCCCATTCCCCGTTGACCCGAGCAACACCCCTACACTGGTCTACACTCCCCACACCCACCCCTTCTTTTTTTACACCCCTTTGAACCGCAAATCACAGTGGCCGGCATTCAGTCAGCAGAAGGTGCAGAGCTGCTGGCAAGGCTGACAAGGCGAGCAGAGACTTGAGCAAATGCGGGGGAATCGTTGTTGCGGTGCCTGCCACTCCCAGTCCGCCTCCCCTGCTGCACTGTGCACCTCCCCCCCTTTCCCCCTCCCACCAACACTCATCACGCAGGCCGGCATTCAGCAGGAGTAGAGGCACTTGCAAGGCTGACAAGTCGGGCAGAGTCGGCAGCAACAGCGGGGGGATTGTCGTTTTTGTGCCACTCCCAGTCCGCCTCCCTGCCACACTGCCCCCCCCCCCCACACCTCAACACTCATCACGCTGGGCGGCATTCAGCAGGAGTAGAGGCACTTGCAAGGCTGACAAGTCGGGCAGAGTCGGCAGCAACAGCGGGGGGATTGTCGTTTTTGTGCCACTCCCAGTCCGCCTCCCTGCCACACTGCCCCCCCCCCCCACACCTCAACACTCATCACGCTGGGCGGCATTCAGCAGGAGTAGAGGCACTTGCAAGGCTGACAAGGCGAGCAGAGTCCGCAGCAACAGTGGGCGAATCGTCGTTTTTGTGCCACTCCCAATCTGCCTCCCCTGCTGCACTGCCATCGATTTTGAAGAGTGCAAAGCCAAAGGAAGCTTCTCTGAAGGCCGACCATACAGGCTTGGGGGAGGTGAAGCTGAGGGGAGGGGGGGGGGGAAGAGAAAAACGGGGGAGGAAAAGGGAGGGGAGGGGGTGTTGGTGAGAGAATGAAAGTTGATGGTGTTGACCATCCGCCTCCCCTGCCGCACTGCCATCAATCTTGAAGAGAGCAAAACCGAAGGCAGCTTCACGAAAGGCCGACCATGCAGGCTTGGGCGAGACGAAGCTGTGGAGGGGGAGGGAGGAAGAGGGGCGTAGCAGGTGAAATGTAAGCAAGAAGTTTCAGTGTTACTCCCAGTCCGCCTCCCCTGCTGCACTGCCATCGATCTTGAAGAGAGCAAAGCCAATGGCGGCTTCTCTGAAGGCCGACCATGCAGGCTTGGGGGGGACAAAGCTGAGAGGAGGAGGGGAGGGGGAAGGGGGAGGGGGAGGGAGGAAGAGGGGCGTAGCAGGTGAAAGAAGTTCCAGTGTTACTCCCAGTCCGCCTCCCCTGCTGCACTGCCATCGATCTTGAAGCGAGCAAAGCCGAAGGAAGCTTCACGGAAGGCCGACCATGCAGGTCTGGGGGAGACGAAGCTGAGAGGGGAAGGGAGGCGGAGGGGAAGGGAAGGAAGGGGAAGGGGTGTTGGAAAAACGAAAAAAGTCATGGTGTTACCGCCAGTCCTCCTCCCCTGCAGCACTGCGATCAATCTTGAAGAGTGCAAAGCCGAAGGAAACCTCTCTGAAGGCCGACCATCCAGGCTTGGGGGAGACGAAGCTGAGAGGGGGAGTGAGGGGGAGGGAAGAGGGGGGAAATGGAGGAAGGGAGGAGTTTGAATGTGATGTTACTCCCAGTCCGCCTTCCCTGCCGCACTGCCATCGATCTTGAAGAGAGCAAAGCCGAAGGAAACCTCTCTGAAGGCCGACCATCCAGGCTTGGGGGAGACGAAGCTGATAAGGAGAGGGGAGGTGGAGGGGAAGGGAAGGGAGTAGCAGTGTCGAAAAGGCAGAAAGTCACGGTGGTGAGAACCCGCCTCGCCTCCCCTGCTGCACTGCCATCCACCCTGAAAATCACTGTACAGCCAGCGTACCTAGGATAGAGATCCTTGCCGCCACTCCCAACGGTAGTGTGTCTTGCAAGTCAACTCAAAAAGCACCAACTATAGGTATACACGTGTTGACGGTACAGCCCAGCGCACCTGGGGTAGAGATCCTTGCCGCCACTCCCAACGGTAGTGTGTCTTGCAAGTCAACTAAAAAATCACCAACTATAGGTATACACGTGTTGACGGTACAGCCCAGCGCATTTGGGGTAGAGATCCAGGGTATACCCGCCGGCGCTGCACCCCTAGCAGTACCAGAGTCGACAGCTACCTCGACAGGCTCGACAGGGTCTACCTGGGACACACCTGAGGGGGCAGGACCCTGAGGGGGGAGGGGGTCTACCGGAGGAGCCTATGGTGTGAGGAAGAGCGGCGGGGGGGGGAGAGGGGCAGTACGGTAGGGAAAGAGACGGTAGTAAGATACCGACTCGTCAAACGTGACGTCCTGAGAAGACAGAACACGACGCGAGGTGGGGTGGTAAAACTGCCACCTTGGTGCGTCAGGGGGGAAGCCAAGGAAGACGCAGGGAACAGCACGGGAGGACAGCTTGTCCGCGGAAGAATCGCGGAAAAAAGCTCGAGATCCCCAGACACGGAACACCGACGCATCGCCAACCTTCCCCGTCCACCGCAGAGTAGGTGTGGTCTCCGGCAAGGAGACACGAGGCTGAAGGTTGATCTGATGCGCAGCATACTGAACCGCGAACGGCCACAGAAAATGGGGAGCAGTCGCATGGATCATGGACGTACGAGCGACGTCCATGACCATGCCAATGCGGCGCTCAGCAATCCCATTTTGCTGTGGGGAGGCCGGAAGCGTGAACGTCTGGCGGATGCCCTCCGCACGACAGAAAGCCCTCAGAAGGTCGGAGGAAAACTCACCACCTCTGTCTGAGTGCAGACGCAGAACAGGAAGGTCCGAGCCGAAGCTCTCGCTGAGCTGGCGACGGGCACCGCGGATCCAGTCGATCAACACCTCAGTGACCTCACCCTTGCGGCGCAAGGGGAAGATTGTGGTGTAACGCGAGTAGTCGTCAACGACCAGCAGGAAGTAACGCTCGTGACCCTGTCCACGGACGTGGGCTGGGCCCCACACGTCCATGTGGAGAGTCTGCAGGGGAGCCTCTGTCGGAGGGAACTCGGAGGAGTGAGGAGCGGCGCGCTGCCGGCCCTCGACACAAGGAACACAGGTAGGGGCAGGCCCCGGAGGAAGGGGAGGGAGGGACCGGGGGAGACCAGAGACAAGGGTACGGGAGGCCATACCTCGAAGGCGAGGCAGAGAGGGGTGACCAAGGCGGTGGTGTCAAACGAGAGTCTCATGGGACAGAGGACGACACGAGCAGGGGGCAGACGCCGGACTAGACCTGGACGCAGCAGCAAACACCTGACCAGACGCTGCTACCTGACCAGACGCAGTAACTGGAGGAGACGCAGTAGTCAGTGTGTACAGGCTCGACCCAGGCCGACGGGTGAACGTGGCCAGGTGGCGGCCCGTCCGAGAGCAAGTGCAGTGGGTCACACGCTGACCTCCAGGGGTGAACTGGTCAACCCACACGTCCTGGAGGTCAGCTCCACTCACCAAGTTCGTAGAGAACGAGGGGAGGTGGAGTCCCGACAGCAAGCCCGACGGGGCCGCAGGACACGGTAGAACCTTGGACGAGTGCGCAAGGACTGGGCCCCCAGAGGGGTCAGCCAGGGAGACTACGACCGGCCGACTGAGCGGCATGAGTGTGGTGCTGTCGCGAAAGAAGGAGCGCAAAGCACCTGAGTCAAGTGTGAAAGTGTGCAAGGCCTCAGTAGGTGCAGTACCAGAGAGAGCAGACTCACCAGCACCTGGAGCAGCAGACTCACTAGTACCTGGAGCAGCAGACTCACTAGCACCTAGAGCAGCAGCCTCAATGTCCGGGTCGGGCGGAACACACAGGTAACAGTCACCCTCAGCACTATCAGTCACAGCATACATGGCAGCAAGGATAGCATCGAAATCAAGATCAAAGATGGCAACATTCTGCCTAAGCAGATCACCCCAGCGAGGGAGCTCAATAGCATCAGGAAACTGGGCGCGCCAGGCGTCAGTCAGGCGACCGAAGCAGCGCTGCGTAGTGTGTGGCAGTCCGCACGTCTCCCCACGGCGCCCGCCGGTGCGAAGAACGTAAGTGCAGGGACTAGCACCCCCAGACCTCCCACGCCCAGCGTACCACTCACGGAGCTGCTGGGCCGACGGGGTCTCACGGGAACGCGGCTGCTGCTGGCGCTGGCTACCGCCAAAGCCTCCACGCTGCGTGGCTCCACCTCGACCAGCACCACCGCCGCCGCCACCTCCACCGCCGCTGCCGCTGCCTCCACCACCCCCACCGCCGCCACCGACGCCCCCACTCCCGCCACCACCCCCACCTCCACCGCCACCCCCTCCGCCTCCTCCACCGCCTCCACCGCCGCCCCCACCGTCCCCTCCACCACCCTTGCCCCCCTTGCCCTTGCTGTTGCGGCGCCTCCCACTGGGAGCAGACGCAGCCCCGACCTCCTCAGTGCCAACGAGGTCGACAGCAGCAGCAGAAGCAACAGAGGGGAGAAGGGGGACAGGGGAACACCCCTCAAAGAAAGGGGCGCGAGGGCCGCCGCGAGAAGCACCTACAGCAACGATACTCTTCTCAGCTGCAGTGAGGCGCTCCTCTAGCAGGTCGACGGTGAGCTCGGTGGGGCAAAGGGAGAGAAAGTGGTCCCTGACTGAAGAAAGGGAGTCAGGGAGACGGGTGACTAGGTAGTAGAGGGTGATGTACATGGGGGGGGGGTTCTTGGCACAGAACTCAGTGGGAAGCGCAGCGCGGTAGCGGGCGTCACTAGTGCGGAGGTGAGTAATGAGGTCAGCGACTGTGGCAAAGGCGGCAAGGTCAGGGAACAGGTACGGCAGCATGAGGCGGCTGAGGGCAACAGTGGCAGGGGAGGAATAGCGCGCTACTACAACGTCATACAAAGACTTAGCAGTCTTGTACTGGCCAAAGTGCGCGCGCTCAGCAGACGGCAGGTGACTACGAACAGCAAGGCGAGCAACAGCGTCACGAGTGGTCCACTGCGAGCGAACCGTACTGTCAGCAGTGGCAGCAGGTGCAGGAGAGACACCGGACGTATGATCGAACAGGGATACTCCTTCCTTAGAGTCACACTGAAGAAAGAGCTGCAGGTCGTCAACCCACACGTCAAAGTCAACCGCACGCCCCTCAGCATCAAAGGTAAGAACATTAGGGCTAGCCATGGGCGCTCTAAGTAGCAACAGCACTACCACCAGCATCAGCACCAATAGCAGCACTACCAGCAGCAGCGCCATGAACAACACAGACGTTAACACGGCTGGGGGGGGAGAAAGCAGTGCAATCCCAGGGCCCTCTTCTTCTGCCGCAGCTGGTGCTGCTGCTGCTGCTGCGGATGCTGCGGATGCTGCGGATGCTGCGGATGCTGCTGCAGCTGCCTCTCCAGTGAACAGCAGCAGCAGCAGCAGCAGCAGCAGCAGCAGCAGCAGCAGCAGCAGCAGCAGCAGCAGCAGCAGCAGCAGCAGCAGCAGCAGCAGCAGCAGCAGCAGCAGCAGCAGCAGCAGCAGCAGCAGCAGCGTGGGGAGGGTGAACATGGTCTATGTGGAGCTCAAATTCACGTATGCTTCTGCTGCCCTCTGCTGTCCTTCTTGCTTGCTCCCATTGCCCAGTCCCGTACTTTTCTACTACTCACCCCAAGCGTTCGCGTCCCCCTGCCCCACACTCCCCCTGCCCCACACTCCCCCTGCCCCACACTCCCCCTGCCCCACACTCCCCCTGCCCCACACTCCCCCTGCCCCACACTTCCCCTGCCCCACACTTCCCCTGCCCCACACTCCCCCTGCCCCACACCCCCCCTGCCCCACACTCCCCCTGCCCCACACTCCCCCTGCCCCACACTCCCCCTGCCCCACACTCCCCCTGCCCCACACTCCCCCTGCCCCACACTCCCCCTGCCCCACACTCCCCCTGCCCCACACTCCCCCTGCCCCACACTCCCCCTGCCCCACACTCCCCCTGCCCCACACTCCCCCTGCCCCACACTCCCCCTGCCCCACACTCCCCCTGCCCCACACTCCCCCTGCCCCACACTCCCCCTGCCCCACACTCCCCCTGCCCCACACTCCCCCTGCCCCACACTCCCCCTGCCCCACACTCCCCCTGCCCCACACTCCCCCTGCCCCACACTCCCCCTGCCCCACACTCCCCCTGCCCCACACTCCCCCTGTCCCACACTCCCCCTGCCCCACACTCCCCCTGCCCCACACTCCCTCTGCCCCACACTCCCCCTGCCCCACTCTCCCCCTGCCCCACACTCCCCCTGCCCCACACTCCCCCTGCCCCACACCCCCCCTGCCCCACACTCCCCCTGCCCCACACCCCCCCTGCCCCACACTCCGCCTGCCCCACACTCCGACTGCTCCATATTTCTCTCTCTCACGCCCCGCTGTTTCTCGCATGGTGGATGTGTGTCGGTGCTATGCTGTGCCCGCGTATGTGAGGCACGCATGTGCATGCTTGTATATGCATGCGTGTGCATGTGAGTGTGTGTGCATGTGGGTGCGTGTGTCAGTGTGTGTGTGCATGCTTGTGTGCGTGAGTGAGGGTGTGTGGATATGTAAGTGTGTTTGTGTGTGTTTCTGCGCGCGCACGCCCATTCCCTGTGTGTGTGCGTGGTGTGCATGTTTGCCTGTGTGGATATACATGTGTGTGTGCCTAGTGCATCAGAGGCAGATCTAGCGTTCTTCTGTCCACGGCAGCATCACCAGCACCACCAACATGGCTCCCTCTCTTCTGTCCGCATCCTCGGTCTGCTAACAGACGCCTACTTACTCCCTGCTCTCTACCACGCGCCACACTTGCAAGTGAGTGGAAAAGCCTGGTCTCCCTTTCATTTCACTCGAGTTCAAACCCTCTGATGCACTCCTCTCCGTTTTTGTTGAGGTTGATTTTGAGAATTCTCAACGCCCCCCTCCCTGCTCTCTACCACGCACCATACTTACAATACAAGCAAGTGAACAACTCCGAACTCCCTTCTTGAGGCGCCTCACGAATTAAAACTTACCGACTCCTGCTATGTACCATCCGCCACCCTGACTGGTGAGCAACCGTGTCTCCCTTTTGGACCCTGTGCCCCACTTTCCCCAGGCTGACTTGGAGCGCCTGCCTGGTCCCCAATCGCCGGGTGCTGATGCACACATTCCGTTGTACACAGATTCCATTCTCTCTGTGTTTTCTCTGTGCCCCCCTTTCCCCAGGCCGAGTTGGAGCGCCTGCCTGGTCCCCAACCCCAATCGCCTGGCGCTGATGCACGTGGCTCAACTCAACAGCACAAGCCTTCTCTTCCTGCCATATTCCCTCTGCGCCCCCGACATTCAACAGGCTGACCTGGAGCTTTTGTTCCCCGACCGCCTGCCGTTGATGCACGTGGGGCGCTACCTGCTGCACCCCGCCAACTACCTCTGGGAGGAAATCACCCGCGCCTTCCGAGCCTACCTCGCCCCGCACCAACACAGGGTTGGGATCCAGGTCCGTATTAGGTTCGGTATCCATTCAATCACAGGTTCGTCATACAGCAAAGATTCGGCGTTCAGGTCAGTGGTTAAAAAACACCCCTTTCAATGCATTCTCCCCTCCCTCTGCTCTTTGCCTTTTCTCCTTCACACATACCTCACATCCGTGTGTTCCAGAAGTACGTTCCAGCTGAGATTGTGCTTCTGTCACTGGTGAATGGGACTATAGCGGTGGCTGGTAGATGTGATTCTAAAGCCTCCACCTCTCACCCTCTTCCGCTCCTATCACCTCAGATTCGTGAGTTCCAGAAGTACGTACCAGCTGATGACGTGCTGCAGCGGGTGATGCAGTGCAGTGCCTTCTGTATGAGATGCCTGATTACACTCTCCTTATTCTCCTACACGCACACACACCTCAGATTCGTGAGTTTCAGAAGTACGTACCAGCTGATGACGTGCTGCAGCGGGTGGTGGAGTGCAGTGCCGTTCGGGTGAATGGGGTGCTAGATTTTCCCTCGCAACCCCCAAATTTCCCTTCCCACATTTTACATATGCTGCAGATTCGTGAGTTTCAGAAGTACGTGCCAGCTGATGATGTGCTGCAGAGAGTGGTGGATTGCATGGTGAACGTGACTAAAGTGGTGGGCCCCATATTGTCACACGAGGACTGGGAGAAGCTGACGAAGCAGGTCAGTCAGTTGGTCGGTTTGTTGGTCCGTACTACGCACTCAATCCCGCCCTCCTTAAACTGACGTGGACCTCTTGTGCTCAAGCTCCCTGGCCACAGCTTGTCTTTAATCCACGTGCCATGCCGCCGTTCCCCCGCATTTGAGTCGACTCAACAGCAGACGCCATGCCGCCGTTCCCCCGCACACTGAAGCACACACCCCTCAAAGCCGTACAGCATTCTTGCGCGGACAAGAAATGCTCAACAGGGGAAGGGAACCGCATGTCGAGGCACGTTGGTTAATCGAGGGCGAAACCCTGGAGTCTTCAGAAAGAAGCTGCAGTGGAAGTGACTGAGAATTAAGTCCACGTGGTAGCTTGTAATGGCTTCACGTCATGCATGGATGCGACGAAGATATGGAACGAAAAGAAAAAATATCATGTCTGAACCCGGAATCGAACCGGAGACCTCCAGTGTGTGAGACTGGCGTGATAACCGACTACACCATCCAGACTTGCAATTTAGTTCGTCATTCAAGTACTCACCAGTTGGCGGTCAGTCAGTCAGTTAGTTAGTCAGTCAGGCTATCAGTACTGGTTTGGTGAGAGGCGAAGCTAAGCGAGCGGGTATATTAGGAAGTGTGGAAGGGAGGAGAAGAGTATGAGGAGTGGATCAGGGCATCGTACATATTCTGATTATCTTCGTCTCTCCTTGTCCCTCCTTCCGTCTGTCACCCTCCCTGCATGCAGGCACCTCCCAGCAACGCCTCCCTCCTGAGCCAAGTACTGGGAGAGCAGGAGCTGGTTCAGGGGCAAGGGCAGCCGCAAGGGGAGAAGGACGAGAAGGAAAACGGGGAGCATGTGAAATCAGAGGATGGCGACAAGAAGGAAGGCGAGAAGGGAGGCGAGAATAAAGTTCAAGAGGGGATGCAGATGTTGGGAAGCGGGGATGGGGGTGGTGGAGGGGCGGAGGTGGAGAGATTAGGTGGTGGGGAGGGGAGGAGGAAGGGGGGGAGTGTGGGGGTGTTTGTGGCGTCGCTGCGGGCAGCGTATGGGGAGATGCTGAGGGAGATGAGCACAGAGGGGCGGCCAGAGGGCGGGCAGGAGATTGCTGTTAGCATGTGAGTGAATGGGTGAAGCCTTGTGTGTGAACTGAGATTGCGTATGGGGAGATGCTGAGGGAGATGAGCACTGAGGGGCGGCCAGAGGGAAGCCAGGAGATTGCTGTCAGCATGTGAGTTGGCCCCTCTGCACGTTTTTTTCTGTGCTCTTGTGTATACGCTTGTGTGCGCTTGGGCAGGGTTGAGGATTTGTTCGTCTTTTTCACTTGCCCCACCCCCCTTCCCATCCCCTCGTTTCTTTGCCCCCTTACTCTACTCTCATCCAAGGCTGAGCCACGATGGAGATGACTTTTGAGTCGACTGGAAAGGCTGAGCCACGATGGAGATGACTTTTGAGTCGACTCAAAAGGCTGAGCCACGATGGATCACAGCAGCTGAGGGTAAAGAATCAGGCAGCGAGAGCGTTAGGGGGAGGCGGCGACGCGACGTCGCGGCAGAGGGAGGGGCAGGCGACGACGGGGCGTCGCGGCGGAGGGATGCGCGGGCGACGCCGAAGTAGGCGCGGCGGCGAGAGGGGGGGGGAGACGGCGACGGGGGGTCGCGGCAGGGGGAGGAGGAGGCGGCGACGAGGCGTCGCGGCGGGATGCGCAGGCGGCGCCGGAGAAGGCGCGGCGGCGGAAAAAAGGGGGGGAGGGGGGCGGCGACGGTGTGTCGCGGCGACGGGAGGCGGTGATGCACTCGCGGCGGTGGGATCCGTAGGCGAGGAGGGCGCAATCACGGCGGAGGGAGGGAAGGGCGGCGACGGTGTAGGTCGTGCCAAGGAGATGCTAGGTTGAGCCACACGTAGGGGGTTTGTGGCTGTGGGGTGGGCCCATGGGGAAGAAAAACTTTGAGGGAGGGAGAGGTAAGGCTTAGGAACAACTAGCTCTATACCATGTGAAGATTGTGAATTGAACAAGTTACTTGATTAGAGGAGAAACCTAGCATACATAGTTCAAAGAGAAGGTTGGAAGAGAAAGGTGAAGGTGACCAAAGGTTGGGTTGGCCTCACTTGGGGGAGTGAGGCCACCATAGGTCAAGTGGGTTGGGTTGCCCACACTTTGTAGAAGTGAGGCAACCCTAGGCCCACTTGGCTTGAGGTGACCTCACTTGTGGAAGTGAGGCACCCATAAGTCAAGTGGGTTGCATTTGGGGGCTCCACCACAATTGGGTGGATTGGCACCCCAAAGTGCAAGACTACACCCAAAGTTGGGTGTAGTCCCAACCCAACTGTACACCACAATTGGTGTACAGTCACATGTGTTGGCATGCTACACAATATATACTTTAACATCTATCGCCCTACGGCCTATTGAGTCGACTCAAAAGCTCACCCCGTGCTTACCCCAAGCTCACCCCGTGCTTACCCCAAGCTCACCCCAAGCTCACCCCAAGCTCAACCCATGCTTACCCCATGCTTACCCCATGCTTACCCCATGCTTACCCCATGCTTACCCCATGCTTACCCCATGCTTACCCCATGCTTACCCCATGCTTACCCCATGCTTACCCCATGCTTACCCCAAGCTCACCCCAAGCTCACCCCATGCTTACCCCATGCTTACCCCATGCTTACCCCATGCTTACCCCATGCTTACCCCATGCTTACCCCATGCTTACCCCAAGCTCACCCCAATCTCACCCCATGCTTACCCCATGCTTACCCCATGCTTACCCCATGCTTACCCCATGCTTACCCCAAGCTCACCCCAAGCTCACCCCATGCTTACCCCATGCTTACCCCATGCTTACCCCATGCTTACCCCATGCGTGCAGTGCCAACCTTCTTGTCACCCTACGGCCTCACATGCGCACTCATCCTCAACACGTACGGGCTCACAGATGCCGAATTCTTCAGCCAAAACAAGGTCAGGAGGGCTGTGGTCAGGAAGGTATTAAATTCAAATTCTCACATGCGCACTCATCCTCAACACGTACAGGCTCACAGGGGCTGAGTTCTTCAGCCAAAACAAGGTCAGGAGGGCTGCACGTTTCGTGTCACATCACATCAGGTGACGGTGCATCGCTATTCATGTTCTCACATGCGCGCACCCGCTCATCCTTAACACTTACGGGCTCACAGGGGCTGAGTTCTTCAGCCAAAACAAGGTCTGGAAGGTGTTAGACTGAAGGCGGGTTTAGGCTGTGGTTTGGGGGTCAGCATGTGCCGTGTCACATCACATCGCTATTCACGGCCCATCCGAGCAAGTGACACAATATTTGAGCAAGCTTCGCTCATTGCAACTCACTGCCCGTCACGTCTCTCATTGCAACTCACTGCCTGCCCGGTATGTCCCTCATAATGAGGGCCTCATTGCCATTTTCGTCGTTCTATTCTATCCAGACCAAACCTCCCTTTCTTCTTGCTCCTTCCAATCAAATCCTCCTTGTCTCCTTGTTCTGACTGCAGGGTTTCCAATGCTGGGCTCCCATCCCAGTAAACAACCTAGTCAACGTCACCAGCCGGGCTTTCTCGCCATGCATGCACTTCCATGTACATCTGAGTCAACTCAAAGGTCATCCTCCTTCTCTCCTTGTTCTGACTGCAGGGGTCTGAGTGCCGAGCGCCCATCCCTGTAAACACAATAGTCAACGTCACCAGCCGGGCGTTCTCGCCATGCACTGCCATTTACTCTGCTAACTATGTAAGTGCCGTTGTGTTTATTAAGTGCCAGTGTGCTGCAGATGGTTTTCTTTTGCAATTCTCGAAAACCATCTCGCCATGCACTGCCATGTACTCTGCTAACTATGTAAGTGTCAGCGTTTATGTAAGTGCCAGTGTGTTGCTGGCTATCATCGACAAAACTCAAAGGAAGTCTTCCCATTCCCATGCACTGCCATGCGCACTGTCATTTTCTGTAAGTGCTAGCGTTTATATAAGTGGCAGCACTAACACCCTCTTCTCCTCCCCCATTTAATCGCCGCACCACTTGCCCCATGACCCTGTGTTTGCCTCTTCCCGATCCCTCCCTCCATCTTTCCCTTCCCCGTGTGCTGGCAGGGTGGCACGTGCGCAACTCAACCAACGCTCTCCCCTGTCTCTCCCTCAGTCACCCCACCACTCGCCCCAAACCCTATGTAGACCTGTCCCCACCCCCTCCAACTCCGCCCAACCCCTCCCCTGGTCCCAATGCATGGGCAGGTTGGCACGTGTGACTCCATGACCATCAATACCCTCTCCTCCACTGTCTCTGGGCTGCCTTGCCCACTCACCCACCCACTTTTCGCCCCGTTCCCGTTCCCTTTGTCTTCCCATCCCACCCCAATGTGTCGGCAGGTTGGCACGTGTGACTGACTCCATCAATACCCTCTCCTCCACTGTCTCTGGGCTGCCTTGCCTATAATACTCACCCACTTGTCACCCCCTTTCCCATTCCCTTCGTCTCCCCTTCCCTAGTCCCGATGTGCCGGCAGGTTGGCACGTGTGACTCCATCAATACCCTCTCCTCCACTGTCTCTGGGCTGCCTTGCCCACTCACTCACCCACTTTTCGCCCTGTTCCCCTTGCCTTGCCTACTGAACTGACCCGCTTTTCGCCCCCATTCCCACTCCCTTCGTCTCCCCTCCCCCGGTCCCTGTGTGCCTACAGGGTGACACGTGTGATTCACTCAACGCCCTCTTCTCCACGCAGATACAGCCGCTCAACCCCGCCCTCACCTGCTCCGATGGGCCCAGACCTGGCCAGGTGAGCATCGGTGCAGTGCAGGTGGGTGCAGGTGGGTGCAGGTGGGTGCAAGTGGGTGCAGGTGTGTGTTAGGGTGTGTAGATGGGTGTAAGTGGATGCAACCCATAGCGTATTGGGGACTTTGGTGAGCTGCGGCAATAACATGACATGCCAACATGACATGACATGTTATGACATGACATGACAGGACAGGGCAAGAAATTACATCTCATCATTTCACATAGCGTCGTATTGCGTTTCATCACATAACATCACACATAATTTGGATGCATAATCACAAATACTCCCCCACTCTCACCCCACTCCCCTCTTCCCCTCTCTCCTCCCCACCCCTCCCTTCAGCTCCTTTGTGTAGACTTCAACCAAACATGGCTAGAACTGGGAAAAACCCACCTAGAATGCGACCACTACGCCCAAATTACCCCAACCGCAACCACAACCCCGTCCTCAACCACTCCCCGGCTTTCACCAGCCCATCAGCTAGCCAAGAATAAGAGCCAAGGGGTGCTCCTGGCTGAGTCAAGCCATCCACCACCCCCGCCTCTAGCCAACTATACGAGTGACAGAGTGCTGGTGACTGTGCTACAAGGCCCGCAGACCTGCCAGCAGCTGTGGTGGACGTTTGGCATCGCCTCCCCCACGCGCTTCTTCCAGATGAATCCCGGCCTCTCGTGCGACTCGCTGCTGCCTTACAGCCCCCTGCAGGGGAACATGATGAGCAAGGTGATCTGGGCGGGGCTGGGGAGTTACAGGCATGCTTTTACACTAAAAGACAAGCCCGTTTCCTGCCATACAGTCCTCTACAGTCCTCTACACTCCCCTGCTGCCTTTTCTTCCCCTTCTGTCCTGCTCCCACTGATTGGTGGCTTGCAGATATGTGTGGCTGGCACCGACACTCGGCCGTTCTCTGGCTTCTCATGTGCGACCAAGAGACCATACAGTGTGAAGCACGGAGATACATGCAGTTTATTTCCCCTTTCCTTCTGTTCCCGCTCTTCGTGATTCACAGACTTGTGTGGCTGGCACTGACACTCGGCCGTTCTCTGGCTTCTCATGTCCAACCAAGAGACCATACAGTGTGAAGCATGGAGACACATGCGGCATGCTGATCGCCAAGAAGTATCGGCGTAGCACGGACGTGTTTAGGGACCTTAACAACGGATATGATTGTACCGTGAATCGGCTGTATGCAGGGATGTTGCTTTGTTTACCTTGATTGATTCAATCTATTGTGTTGTTACAAGTGCAGTGGAGCAAGGGAACAAAGGTTTCTCTATGCAATGGAAGTACAATGCGGTATGAGCGAAGGTACCGTACAAATGGAAGACTGGTATGGTAACTGAAGCATGCAAATATCGAGAGCATGGTATAGTGCTATCACCAGGGCATTGATTAACCAGGTGAAATGCCTTGATTACCCTCACTTTCAGAGTGTTTTGTTCTTACCATAGAAGGCCGATTGTTCTTGTCAGAAAAGGTTTTACCCTGTGCTGTGCACATCAAGAACTCGCCCCGACCCCGATCTTTGAGTCGACTAAAAAATCGACGTATCACACGTGTTCTGTTCTTGGAAGGCCGATTGTTCTCGCTCACACGAGGTTTTACCCTGTGCTGTACACATCAAGAACTCGCCCCGACCGCTCGCCCCTTCCGCTCTGTCCAAGTCACCCCCGTGACCCCCGTCCCTCTCATCTCGCCAGGCCAGCCTTAGTATCCTCTTCCCCTGTTCCTCTCGCCACTCCCTGCCTCCCTACCCAAGTCCCCAATTGCCTTTTCCCATTCCTCACTGTCCAACTCCCCACCTGCCTTTCCCCACTCCTCACTGCCCAAATCTACCCTTGCCAATCGCCACACCCCCCTTGTCCCTCGTGTTCCTCCCGCCACCCCTCCCAACTCAAGCCTCTTTTATCCTCCAGTCACCCCCTCCCAGCCCAAGGCCCCCCTGCATACCTCTTGTATTGTCACCCGCTCCATACCTCTTGTCTTTCGCGTTTCTGCGCATGATGGATGCATGAACATTAAGGTAAACAAAGCAACATGCCAGCCCACAACTTATTCACGGTACAATCATATCCGTTATTAAGTTCCCTAAACATGTCAGTACTACGTCGGTATCTCTTGGCAATCAGCAAGCCGCATGTATCGCCGCGTTTCACAGTGTACGATCGCTTGGTTGAGCAAGTCAGGCCAGAGAACGGCCGCGAGTCAGTAGCAGCAACACAAACCTGTGAACCACCAAGAGTGGGAACATAACGGAAGGAGAAAAACGGCTTGGCTTAGTTTAATCGGGTTTTTTTTTTACTACTGAGTAAGGAGTCACACGAGGACCCCCCAATATTCTTACAGAAGCGAGTGGAGAGGAGACACTGCACACTCAGTCCCCCCTCCCTCCCCTCTCCTTCCCCCATCCCCCCTCCCCTTCACTTCTCCCTTATTCCTTCCCCCACCACCTCCCACCCCCCCCAACCCATACGCTCAGGCCTTCCGACTCACCATGCTCATCATGTTCCCCTGCAGGGGGCTGTGTGGCAGCAGCGAGTCGCACGAGAGGCCGGGATTCATCTGGAAGAAGCGCGTGGGGGAGGCGATGCCAAACGCCCGCCACAGCTGCTGGCAGGTCTGCGGGCCTTGTAGCACAGTCACGAGCACCCCTTGGCTCGTGTAGTTGGCTAGAGGAGGGGGTGGTTGAGGGCTGGGTGTGGCTGCGGTTGGGGTGATTTGCGCGAAGAGGTTGCATGTTAGGCGGGTATTTCCCAACTCTAACCACGTTTGGTTGAAGTCTACACAGAGGAGCTGGGAAGCAGGGGGAAAGGGGCGTGGGGGGGGGGGGGGGAGAGGGGGGAGAGGAAGCAGATAAGCGAGAGGGGGAGGGGATGTGTGAAATACGCGTCAGCCCAATTCTGACTTTTGAGGTGCCTCAAGAGTCATTTTTGTGGACCTTGAGCTTTGAGACAACCCAAAACAGTTTATGACGGCTCACAGATTAAAGGGCGAGATTCGAAATGCAAGGATTCAGTTTGCCTTCCACAGCGACTGTGATTGGTCGCCCGCCAAACCTCCTGCAGATGGTTTTCCAAACCTTGAATTTAACACGTGAATTCAAGGTTTAAAAAACCATGTGCAGGCAGCAGGAGGAGGTCAGGTCACGCTTTCTTGCCCAACCTCTTGCAGATGGTTTTCCAAACCTTGAATTCTCGTGTTGACCCCGTTGTGTGATTCAGAGTTTGCACTTTCAATTCTCAAAGTGTTGTGTTGTGCTGCAATGTGATGCGATGCAATGCCATGTGAGACGTGATGCGATGTGAGTGACGTGATGCGATGTGACGCAATAACACTTATGAGCGGTAGAACCCATCAAAGGCTTTAATGATTAATAATCATAGCAGGAGCAGCCGAACTAGTAGAAAATATGTGTAAGAGCGGAGCAAATGTTCACACCTGTAGCCAAACTAGCAGAAACGAGACCCTTAAAGCCCGTCAAAGAGTGCGACTGCCCGATGATATATCATTGGTGCAGCTCACCAGGGTCCCCCATATGCAATGGGGTCTGCACCCACCTTCACCCACCTGCACCCACCTGCACCCACCTGCACCCAACTGCACCCGCCTGCACCCACTCACACACACTTCCATCCATGCTCACCTGGCCGAGCCTGGGCCCATCAGAGCAGCTGAGGGAGGGGTTGAGCGGCTGTATCTGCGTCGAGAAGAGGGCGTTGATGGAGTCACAGGTGTCACCCTGCCGGCACATTGGGGACCAGGGGAGGGAGGGGAGGCGAAGGGAAGGGGAATGGGTGCGAGAACAGAGACAGGGTCAGTAGGCAAGGCAACCCAGAGACAGTGGCGAAGAGGGTGTTGATGGAGTCACACGTGTCACCCTGCTGGCACATAGACATGGCAGGGGTAGTGAGGTGAGGGGGAGGGGGGGGAGGGAAGGACGGAGAGAGTGGAAGCAGGCGAACACAGGGACATGGGGCGAGTGGTGGTGCGATTCAAAGTGAGCAGAGAAGAGAGCTTTAGTGCCAAGTTCAAGTACCATGGCGATTACTATTTTTGAGGCGCCTCAAAAACAGAGACGAGGGCGTTAGTGCCAAGTTCAAGTGCAGTGGCGATTACATAAACGCTGGCACTCGCATAAATGCTCCACTTACATAAACGCTGGCACTGGCACTTACATAATTGGCTGAGTACATGGCAGTGCATTGAGAGAAAGCCCGGCTGGTGACGTTAACGAGAGTGTCTACAGGGATGGGCGCTCGGCATTGGAACCCCTGCAGTGAGAACAAGGAGAGAAGGAGGATGCCCTTTGAGCTGACTCAAGTGTACATGGCAGTGCATTGAGAGAAAGCCCAGCTGGTGACGTTAACGAGAGTGTCTACCGGGATGGGCGCTCGGCACTGGATTCCCTGTAGTCGGAACAAGGCGAGACGGAGGATTGGGGTGGTTGGAACAAGGCGAGACGGAGGATTGGGGTGGTTGGAACAAGGAGAGATGGAGGATTGGGGTGGTTGGAACAAGGAGAGACGGAGGATTGGGGTGGTTGGAACAAGGTGAGATGGAGGATCGGGGTGGTTGGAACAAGGAGAGACGGAGGATTGGGGTGGTTGGAACAAGGAGAGAAGGAGGATTGGGGTGGTTGGAACAAGGAGAGACGGAGGATTGGGGTGGTTGGAACAAGGAGAGACGGAGGATCGGGGCGGTTGGAACAAGGAGAGACGGAGGATTGGGGTGGTTGGAACAAGGAGAGACGGAGGATCGGGGTGGTTGGAACAAGGAGAGACGGGGGATTGGGGTGGTTGGAACAAGGAGAGACGGAGGATTGGGGTGGTTGGAACAACGAGAGACGGAGGATTGGGGTGGTTGGAACAACGAAAGACGGAGGATTGGGGTGGTTGGAACAACGAGAGACGGAGGATTGGGGTGGTTGGAACAAGGAGAGACGGAGGATTGGGGTGGTTGGAACAAGGAGAGATGGAGGATTGGGGTGGTTGGAACAAGGAGAGATGGAGGATTGGATGGGTTGGAACAAGGAGAGATGGAGGATTGGCTTTGTGAGTTCAAGAGAAGATAGAGGAGTGGATTGGTTGGAATGTGGTTAGTCTTTTAAGTCGACTCAAAAGTCAACTGGCTTTGTGAGTGCAAGAGGAGATAGAGGTGGATTGGTTGGAATGTGGTGAGTCTACACAAGGAGAGACGTTAAAGGCAAGATGGGAAGGGGTATGAGTTTGGAAGCTCAGCGGATAGAACAAGGAGAGATCGGGACGTGGCAGGCAGAACGAGTGGTGGGAAGAATGCGGGGAAAGTGAGGGGAAGTGAGGGGCAATGAGGGGCAGTGACACAATAATGGGCAATGCAGGGCAGGTGACCAGAAAGGGAGCAGTATTTTAAGGCAATGCGATTGTGCCATGTCATGCGATGTGATGTGACTTGCAAGTTGCAACCCAACCGACCTGACTGCCTTTTGAGTCGACTCAAAAGTCACTGTGTTGTGCCCTGTATCCCAGCCTGATCGCCTCTTGTGAAACACGTCAAAAGCCTTTCAGACCTTATTCTGGCTGAGGAAGTCCGCTTGGGTGAGGCCGTAAGTGTTGAGGATGAGCGGGCATGTGAGGCCGTAGGGTGACAGGAAGGTGGGCACCCGAATCTCGGTCGATCGCACTGCATGCATGGGGTAAGCATGCACGGGGTAAGCATGGGGTAAACAAGAGGTAGGCAGGTCATTGCAAGCAGCAAGGCCAAGCTGACGTTTGAGTTGACCCAGACGTAAGAGCAGGAAACACAAATTTTGGGTCGAAAGTGGGGCATGTGAGAGAGAGGGGCATGTGAGAGTGGTGCATGTGAGAGAGAGAGTGGGGCATGTGAGGGGTAGGCGAGGGGGCAGAGGCATGAGCTGGAAATCAAGGGCTGTGAGCAAGTAGAGCAAACCACGTGCTGCTTACCACTCATCCATGGCTTTTGGCGGACGGCATTTTCCCTTCGAGGGCAAAGGCAGGTAGTAAGCAAGCAAGGGCAAGTGTTACGCACACTGGTAACAGCGGCCGGTGCTTTTGGGGGGAAGTTCAAGAGAAGAAGGGCGAGAGGCAGAGACAGGGGGTAAAAAAAAATACCCACTTCCCCTTTGGGGTAAGAGGCAGGTAGTAAGCAAGCAAGCAAGCAAAGGCAACTGTTACGCACAGAGGTAACAGCGGGCAGTGCCTTTGGGGAAGAAATAGAAGGGGAAGAAGGGCGAGGGGCAGAGGCAGGTGTAGGAGCCATCAACGTCGTCCATGCACACCCCCGGGGCACATGTGAAGGAATCTGGTTAAGAGAGGGAGGGGGAGGGGGAGTGGGGGACGAGAATGGGGGGAGCAGAGTGGAAAGAGAGCAGGAGTGAGTGAGCAGCACACCATCGATGCCACACCCCACAGGGCACACGCGGAAATGAGGAGGAAGGGGAAGAAGGGGAGAGGGAAAAGGCGGTGGGAGGGGAAGGAGAGGAAAGGAGAAAAAAGGGTATTGCAAGAGTGGTCATAGAGCATTGGAGTGCACACTTTTGGAAAATTTCAAGAGAAGAAAAAAAAGAAAGAAAAGAAAGAGAGTAGGTTGATAAGGGATTTTTCAGAATCAATGAGTACGAACTTTTGAGAATTCTCAAAGAACTTTTGCATTTTCTCAGGGGTGTTGTGAATCGAGAACGAGTGCATGCACAAACAGGGGTGTTGCGTACAATACTATGTCATCCACAAACAAACCAAAAGGGCACCCACCGCACTCCACCTCTCACCCACCGCACTCCACCTCGCACCCACCGCACTCCACCTCGCACCCACCGCACTCCACCTCGCACCCACTGCACTCCACCTCGCACCTATCGCACTCCACACCTTGCCTACCGCACTCCACGTCTCACCAGGGAAGCAGGAGGGCAGGCCGGAGAGATGGGAAGGTTCAAAGGATGGAAGATTGAAGGGGCACTTGCAGGAGGGCAGGAGGATAGACGGGTCCCATGGGGCAGGTGCCTTGCTGCATGCACCCATGCCACAGGGGAGCACCGGAGAACCCTTGCAGGGGTCGGTGTCTGTTTGGAAGGGGGGGCGATGAGAACGGGAAGTGGGGAGGGTGTGAGGGAGTTGGAGAGATAATTCCAGTCGTAGGAAGACATGTGAAGTGTCACAGGGGAGCGCACAGGAGAGGCCTTGCAGGGGTTGGTTCCTGTTGAGGTGGAGAATGGGGACAAGGGGTGGGAGGGAAGGCGTTGGGGGGGAGGAGAGATGACTCCCATAAAGCAGGTGGCTTAAGAGAGGGGGGGGATACTTGCCAACAAGATGGATGGCATGGCCCTTACTCTACTCCCCCCTGGCTTTAACAAGATGGATGGCATGGCCCTTACTCTACTCCCCCCTGGCTTTAACAAGATGGATGGCATGGCCCTTACTCTACTCCCCCCTGGCTTTAACAAGATGGATGGCATGGCCCTTACTCTACTCCCCCCTGGCTTTAACAAGATGGATGGCATGGCCCTTACTCTACTCCCCCCTGGCTTTAACAAGATGGATGGCATGGCCCTTACTCTACTCCCCCCTGGCTTTAACAAGATGGATGGCATGGCCCTTACTCTACTCCCCCCTGGCTTTAACAAGATGGATGGCATGGCCCTTACTCTACTCCCCCCTGGCTTTAACAAGATGGATGGCATGGCCCTTACTCTACTCCCCCCTGGCTTTAACAAGATGGATGGCATGGCCCTTACTCTACTCCCCCCTGGCTTTAACAAGATGGATGGCATGGCCCTTACTCTACTCCCCCCTGGCTTTAACAAGATGGATGGCATGGCCCTTACTCTACTCCCCCCTGGCTTTAACAAGATGGATGGCATGGCCCTTACTCTACTCCCCCCTGGCTTTAACAAGATGGATGGCATGGCCCTTACTCTACTCCCCCCTGGCTTTAACAAGATGGATGGCATGGCCCTTACTCTACTCCCCCCTGGCTTTAACAAGATGGATGGCATGGCCCTTACTCTACTCCCCCCTGGCTTTAACAAGATGGATGGCATGGCCCTTACTCTACTCCCCCCTGGCTTTAACAAGATGGATGGCATGGCCCTTACTCTACTCCCCCCTGGCTTTAACAAGATGGATGGCATGGCCCTTACTCTACTCCCCCCTGGCTTTAACAAGATGGATGGCATGGCCCTTACTCTACTCCCCCCTGGCTTTAACAAGATGGATGGCATGGCCCTTACTCTACTCCCCCTGGCTTTAACAAGATGGATGGCATGGCCCTTACTCTACTCCCCCCTGGCTTTTGAGACGACTTAGAGGTCGCCTCTTGCCTCCTTGAGTTGGTGCCCTCTCTCCCTCTAATCAACTCTTCCTTCCTTCAATTCAACCCCTTACCCCTTCCCCCCTCTCTCCACTTCCCTCCCTTGGCCCCTTCCCTTTCTCCCCACCTTCCCTTCTCTCCTCCTCCCACTGCCTTCTTCCCTATGCCACGCGGCTTGCTATGCCTTCTCTCCTTCCCTCCCTCCCCACCATTGTCATCCCCTCTTCCCCCCTCTTCTCCCTACCTGTGAATCGGAAGGTCCAGGAGGAGAGGGCGACGGGGGAAGGCAGGCGGCCAGGCGGGGGAGGGAGAGCAGCACTGGTGAACCCAACAAAGAGCTGCCCAAAGGATGGCGATGCCAGGTCCGTCACACTGCTGTCACCGCTGCTGCTGCTGCTGCCGTCGTCGCCGCCGCTGCTGCTGTCGCCACCGCCGCTGCTGCTGCTTCCGCTGGTGAGAGCAGCCCCAGTGAGTGCAGCACAGAGGTCAATATCGACCTTCACGCTGCCTTTGAGAACAGGGGGGCGGTACCATCTGATCAGCATCTGCTTGCTGCTCCCGTTATAGTCAACCCTCATCTGCCACACCAACTCTGAGTCCATTGGATAAACCATCTTTGCGAAAATCGACGTCATGTTAAAATCGGTGTTAACGCCGATGTGAATATTATTTACATCGCCCATTTCTGGGTTTGCTACAGTGTCCCATTCCACAGCTACACTCCGAGCGCCGTCCGGCCAGCTGCCATTAGTGAGTCGCGTGGACGGGTCCCGGCCGTACCCCATATAAGCCCCGCCTAGGCCAATGCGCGCATGTGTGCTTATAACGAAAGCGAGCCCTTGGGAAGCGGATTTATTCATGGAAAAACCGTACTTGAAGGTGAAAGATCGAGCCATGCAGGTTGGGGGTTCGGTTGCTGTGGGTTGGGGGGGTGAAGAGGAAGGAGAGGAACGGGGGGAGCTGCGAGGATGAGGAAAGGGAGGAGGGAAGGGAGGAGGGAAGGGAGGGGAGGAGGAGGAGTAGAGGAGGGGGAGACGGCGAGGGAAGTATATAGCTCCGGGAGAGGGTTCGTTTGATTGGCCGGTGGATGAGGCCACGTCAGCAGAGACAGAGAGGTCAGCGGCGAAGAAACGCTTCCGTGTGCTGCCACGTGTCAGCAGGGGAGTGGCTGGCGTGATGTAGGGGAAGGAGAACGAGTCTGCCGCCCAAAACGGAAGTGGATCCTCCGCTGCTGGGGTTAAAGAAGGGGAGGGGGGGGGGAAAGGGAGGAGACAGGGGGAAAAGGGGGGAGAGAGGGTTGAAAGTGTGAGGTCATCGAACCAATCATGCCAAGTCATGGGGTGAAAGCACGTAACCCAACGTAAAAAGGACACCATTGCGGGTATGCAACACTGCTGATGCTGATACAAATCATAACATACGCATGCCTGAAACTCATTTACTATGCCTGAAACTCATTTACCATGCCTGAAACTCATTTACCATGCCTGAAACTCATTTACCATGCCTGAAACTCATTTACCATGCCTGAAACTCATTTACCATGCCTGAAACTCATTTACCATGCCTGAAACTCATTTACCATGCCTGAAACTCATTTACCATGCCTGAAACTCATTTACCATGCCTGAAACTCATTTACCATGCCTGAAACTCATTTACCATGCCTGAAACTCATTTACCATGCCTGAAACTCATTTACCCTGGGCCACTTGCTTGTGTCGAGAAACACGAACAGATCCTATCCTAACACAGGGATGAGCGCACCTGAACTCACCCTCCCCCACTTGGAACCTCCACCCCAGCACCTCGTGCGCCTGAGCCTGCTCCGCTCCCTTGCCCGTGGCCGCAGTGAAGCCCACAAACAGCGGCGGGGGGAGCGCTGCTGCATCCGGGTCGTTCCCACCGAGCCACTCGCAGGTGTCCAGGAATGTGGTGAGCACAGCAGAGCGGGGGAGAGGAGGTGAGGGGGAGGCGGAGGAGGAGGCGGAGGCGGAGCAGGAAGTGGAGGAAGAGGAGGAGGAGGGGCGAGGGGAGAGAGGGAAGCCAGGGAAGCGAGGGAAGCGAGGGAAGCGAGGAGGGCGTCCAGAGGAGCGAGAGAGGGAGGGGGAGAGGGGAGCAGGGGAGAGCCAGAGGGTGAGCTGGGAGGAGGAGGCGTTGTATTGGATGGTGGCGAGGAGGGTTTGACCGGCGTTGAGGGAGGGAATGCCGAGGGGGTGCACGGGGGCAGAGGAGAGAGAGAGCATGCTGCCGTGCAGGTTCACCCCCACATGGTGGTCGGGGCGGTCGAAGAATTCAGGAGAAGAGGATGTGTCAAACTCCACTGCCAGGCTCCTGTGCTGCTGTGGATGGGGGGAAAGGGGCAGGGGGGACAGCAGAGAAGCAAGGCTCCTGTGTGTCAGCATACTCTGGGGATGCAAATGTGTCGGGTTTGAGAGAGCATACCTCCAACCGGCAGGCCTACTGTGGGCGAAGACAAGACACCATCACAAACGCCATGCCCTCCCCGTGTTGAGAAACGAGATGCGAAATGCAAAGAAGCTGTTCCTGAGATGACACATACCTGAGAACACACGTACCTGAGATGACGTGTACCTGAGATGACACGTACCTGAGACGACACGAACCTGAGACGACACGTACCTGAGATGACACGTACCTGAGATGACACCTGAGAGGACACCTACCTGATATGACACGTACCTGAGAGGACACGTACCTGAGATGACACCGCACTGGTGGAGCCGGAATCATCAGTGCCAGTCGTACTCCCCGGTGGCAGCAGCAGGCGGCCATAGCCCAGGGAGGGCCCGGGCAGGCCGAGCGTGGGCGACGGCAGCATCACAAACGCCAAGCCCTCGCCGCCCAGCCCGGCGGCGTTGGGGGAGGAGATGCGGAAGGCGAAGGAGGTGGAGAAGGAGAAGGGGCGGCAGGGGGAGGAGGGCGTGGCGGGGGCGAGCAGGGCGAAGGGGGCGGGGTGCAGCGCCAGGGAGACAGCGTGGCGGTCAGAGAGGGTGGTGAGGGAGAGGGAGGAGGGGTTGCGGCGGGTTGAGCCCGCTGTGAGGAGCGGGTGGGAGCTGGAGAGCGGCCAGTGGGAGAAGGACTTGAGAGGGGAGGGGTCGGCTGCAGGGCAGCGGTGGGGAGTGGGGTGGGGAGGGAAGGAGAGGAAGAGGAACAAGGGACGAATATTAGGAGCCGTAAAATCGTCTCATGTCTCGAGCAGTGGGTGGGCGGTGGAGAGCGGCCAGTGGGTGCAGGGCTTTGAGACGTCTCGAAACACTTCTTCATACACGTGGGTGCAGGGCTTGAGTGAGGAATGATTGGGTGCAGGGCTTGAGTGAGGAATGATTGGCTGCAGGGCTTGAGTGAGGAATGATTGGCTGCAGAGCCGTGGGGGAGATGGGGGGTGGGGGTGGGGGGGGATGGGGGGAGGTGAAGGGGGCAGAACAACGGGAGCAGAAGTGAAATGAGGGATCGATCATGCACAAGAGTGGGAGGTTAGAACTTGGATTGGACGCTCATGTGCAGCTAATGCTTTTGGCCATGCCTGTGACACACCCCACCTGTGGCCCTGCTATGTCAACCATTTCCCCCTCTCTCATTCACTCGCTGCCTCTCTGACTCACTTTTGAGTCGACTCAAAAGTCACCTTTTGAGTCGACTCAAAAGTCGCCCTGCCATGTCAACCATTTCCCCCTCTCTCATTCACTCGCTGCCTCTCTGACTCACTGCGAGCGGGCATGGCAGACGCAAGGTCGATATCCATGCTCCCTGCCTCCGAAGCCACTCCTGCGACCGGCCGCCTGAACCTGAACGCACCTCCCTCCCCTTCTCACTCACCTGGGTCTCTATCCCTCCTTGCAGCCCATCCCCCCCCAGCCCCTATCACTCACCGCGAGTGGGCATGACAGACGCAAGGTCGATAGCCATGCTCCCTACTTCCGACGCCACTCCTACTCTCCTTGTCACCGTCGCCTTCACTCCCGCTCCTGCTCCCGCCTTCACTCCTCCTCCCGTACTCGCAGCAACAGCTAACGCGGCTGCTCCCGGTCTTGTTATCACACCCTCCGCGGCATCCCCTGCTGCTATCCCGCCAGCTGCTTGCACTGCGGGTGCTGCTGCTGCTGCCCCTGCTCCTCCTGCTGCTGTCCCTGCTCCTCCTGCTGCTTTCGTCAGCCCAGGGCTCCGGAACTGTCGTGGTCCCCAGACCCGCCTGTGTATGGAGAGAGGTAGTCTGGGGAACCGAAGCAGCCTTTCCAGAGCGGATGCAGCACGGGAAAGGTGGGATTGTGATGCTGATCGTATTAAGAGGCCCAAGGAGGAAATGGTAAAGCCGCTGCCCCCCCTGCTGTCAACAGCGCCGCTGCTACTGCTGCTGCTGCTGCTGCTGCTGCTGCTGCTGCTGCTGGTTGTGCTGGTGGCGCCAACTCTACTGCTGTCACTGCTGTCAACTATGGTGGCGGTGGCGACGGTGGCAGTGCTGCTGCTGCTGTTACTGTCTTGCACGCCTCGAATCACCAAGTGCAGCGCCACTCCCCCGGGAGGCACTACCAACGAGGAAGGAGAAGAGGCGGAGGAAGAAGAGGAGGGGGAATCCGGGAGGTCAGGGAGGGGGAAGAGGAGGGGTCCCACTTGGAACCAAGGCAAGGCGCCGGACAAACTCGCGCTGCTCCCCCCACACGGCACACCCACCCGCCACTCCCCCCACACCTGCTCCCCCGCCCCTTCCCATGCTGCGGCGGCGGCGGAAGCGTTCAGCGGAACTGCCAGCAGCAGCACCTTCAACAGCCGCTCCGCCTCCCCTTCCGCGCCCCCTTCTCCCTCCGCGCACAGGCTGGCGCGCGCAAAGAACGAGAGGGACAGCTGGCGCGGGGACTGCTGCTGCTGCGCTTGCTGCGAGTTATTGTTGGTCGGCGCCGCGGGTTTGAGTTCGCACAGCGCTTGCGCCACGCCTGGGCCGCCAAACGCGCTGCTACTAGTGCTATTATTACCACTGCTATTGCTACCACTAGAAGTGTCGTTGCTACTAGGCGACGCGAAAAAATCGGAAGTCAGCCGTAAAAAGCGGGACCCGTCTGCTGCCAGTAGGGTGTCCGCGACTCCCGTGACCCCGTTCGCTATTGACACGTCAGCAGGCGACGCCGCCCCTCCTGCTGTCCCGACCGCTTCCGCCAGTGTCGCACCCGCTGGCGCGCGCATTGTTCCGCGGTTTCCGCCGCCAGTTGCGGTGGCTAAGAACTCGTCGTTTAAGAACGACTCCCCAGGTTCTAACGCGCGCCACGGGAATAAGTACGGCCATGGATCGCACGACGCGTTCAGCTTCTTGCGACGCCATCCTATATCGAGACAGCTTGTATCGAAGCTTGGGTTCGAGAGGAGATTTGACAATTCACCTGTGACGGCCAAAGAAGAAGGGTGAAATGGGAAAGAGTTGGAGATTTTTGGGCAATTGAGCGGATAGCAACGAAACCTTCAAAGACGCAGCTTTTGCCACTTTTTGGCGCGTTGGATGCAACATCTACGGCATGGAACGAAAAAAGGGGAGTTTTAAACGGAATTATGCGCACCGGCAAGCGACAGAAAAGTGGCTTACACTGAAAGGAGGAAGAAGGGGATAAAAATGGCTGGAGTCAAAAGGAACGAGTAATATGTGGAAATCCAAATACGCCTGGAGAGGGACGAATGATGATTATGGGAACCCGTCTCTACTAAAGGTGTGCTTACGACTCGAATACTTAATATGATAGCGACGAAACCGTAAACGGCGGAGATACCGAGAACGGGAGAGCGGAGCCTCTTACTTTGATTCGTTAGGTTATAGCAGTCGACGAGACCGTTAGCGACGCGAACGCCGAAGGCTACGAGATAGAGCAGAAAAGTAACCCGTCGGAAATTCGCGACACAGTGAAGGCTCGTGGCCCCTGCGTGAAACCGCAATCTGCGGCGATAGATGCGGAAGTAATTTATCTGCTCCGACACGGTCTCAGAATTTAAATTCTCCGAATAAACTAGGCTCTGCGATCGGTTGCATTCTGAAAGAGGCGTCGGACGTGTCGGAGCAAATCCCGGACTGACACTTGCCATTCCGAGTCGGCCTGTCGCGGCGAGCGTATGGACTGCCCCGTGAGAAGCTGAGGTGATCACCACAGCTGCTTCTCGAGGAGAGGGTTGCGAGGCACATACTTAGAGATTGGGTGTACACGATTAGGTTGAAAGGTATTTCAAGTTGCCAGTCAGTACCTTCCCTTTCCTTGAAAAAAGTTCCCCAGTTGCACGCAGCCACACAATCAGCCAGGGTGTGTCGGTGCGCCGACATCTATGGGAGGGAGGTTCGGGTGGCTGCAGCCATGCCTTTCTCCAGGGTAGGATGGGAGTGGCAATCGAACTGGTTTGATCCCCCCCCTACGTGCACCGTCCCTTCCATTGGAACTTGGGATGATGTGGAAAAACGCAACACGTGAAAAAAACGCAAAACGCAAAAAACGCAAAACGCAAAACTGCTGCGAGTTCCTCCTGTCCTTTTAGAACCTCAGTCCAGAAAACAAGCCACTGTTTCAAAGCGCCTCGGGCCGCTTCGTTGCTGGCAAGGTTCGGCTGGGCTAGCGAACAAGGCTCAATCATGCCAAAGCCGTTGACATTCCCAGACACATGCAATGCAAGATTCAACAACTGAGGTGGTGGTGTGCAGTGCACCAGCGTCTGGATGTCTACGGGAGACTGCATCAGGTGACGTTGAGGAAACCCCAAAACTCCAACAGAAGAGTTCGGTTCCTCCAGCACTTGGATGGACTGCGGTGGTGTGGTGTGGACCACTATGTTAGAGGGCCCTACGACAGCAAGGGCCCTCGATGACCTTTGACTTGGCAGGTCGGCGCCTAACGACTGAGTCTACTCGGCACCGACGCACGAGTTCGGTGGCGGTCATTAGTGACTACGGGTGACTGTGAGCTACTGCAGCGAACTCGGCGGAATCGGTGCTAGGAATGACGAGTCTTGGGGGTCGTAGGTGCCTTGCTTGTGAGGCACGCTGCTCACTTGCTGTGTTGGCAGGAGTAGCGTGCACGGTGAGACATTCCGGTGCCGAGTTGGGTTGGAAATGTGCGGGGCGCGTTCACCCACCTGCACAGCACTTTCGTGTGGGTTGGGTTACTCGCAGCGCCACGCAACAATTGTGCAACTCTTGCTTGCCTATATATGTTTGTGTTTGCTTGTGTGTTTGATAATTGATATTGCAATTCTACTTGGCCCAAATGCTACTTCAATTCTCACAAAGTCCTTAGAGGCAAACGCTACCAAAACTCTACCAAGTTGCTGGCGCAACATCATTCCCATAGCAGAGACTCTCTCGCTATCGCTACGCTCTCTAATATATTCCTTCATGGTGCGGTGAGCGTGGAACGAACACGCATAGATTTCCGTCGTCGTTGATATTCGCGTTCGTATACTCGCCTTGGCGTGCGGCGTTAGTGAAGGGCGCTTATTAATCTAAGTTGAACCTCTCTTGATTTCCCTCCAGTTACGTTCTCGGACCCAAGGATAGGGCGTTTGGTAATTTATTACCACTCGTCTGAGGACCCTTGTGAGGTGACCCCGAGACGAGGGATTTAAGGAAGGGGCACTTTATTTTAATTTGTGGTACCTTATAGAGACGTCGTAGAGGATGAATACAGAGGAGGCGAACGTGGAGGCCAGTAATTTGCGCGCCCTAGAGGAGGATCTCGTGGCTCGTCATTCTCGTGGTGAGATTAGTGATATCGAATACGAGCTAATGTTGGAGGGATTGCGCTCGCGTCGGCATCGTGAGCACCCTTCGCCACGTGTAGAGAATGTTGAGCAAGTTGCGGGAGGTACTAGTGCGTAGGATATGGCTGTCGATGGCGGAAATAGCGATGACGAGGAGTTTGATGGGTTGATGTCGCGTGGGGTCCTGCGAGGACCAACTCGGTTTAGTACGGCTAGCGTTGGCGGTGTACAGGAGCGTGTTCATCGTGCAGCAGCGTCACGAGAGCATGCGAATGTAGGACGGCGGAGCGTTGCTGGAGGAGGAATTGCGGAAGAGTTCGATAGTGAGGCTATGCCGGGCGTTACCCCGATTGGATCGATGTCGAGGGACGAGGGAATAGCCCCCAACTATGGCTACTTCAGATTCACTCCAGACAAGATCATTGTCACTAGGCCGTTAGAAGGACGTCACGACCTGTCGACGTGGACAGAATCAATCGAGCCGCAGCTTGAGATCGCTCAGCTAAAGCGATTCATAGATGGCACCACCCCCATTCCACCAGCGCGTGCGCTTGCGCATCTCTCTCAGTTCCGCGCGATGCAGTTGCTGACATTCACCACCATTTCCCGATGCTGCTCCCCAACCGTACAGATCGCCCTTAAGGCGTGTCGCATGAAGGTCGATGCCGGCTATCAGGCATGGCAGTTTATTATGCGCACGTACATGGCGAAGGACGATCTGTACATCGGTCAGTTAGAGCAGGCGCTCACTAACCTCGAGATGGGAGAGCACGAGTCCGCTACGTCCTATTGCAACCTTACGCAGCAGATCCTAGTGAACCTGAGGATGGCCGGCGTAGGTTACTCGCAGGCGTCGTACATCACTCACGTTGTGAAGGGGTTGCCGCAGCAGTACAACCTCTTACGCAGGATGCTGAAGTTGCCGCAGGTTCGCAAGGAGTTGGACGAGGACACCCTCGCTAGCTACATCATCGAGGAGGAGTGTACGCTGGCGGCAGAGGGACGAAAGGACCAATTTCTTCCCCAGGCTAACCAGGTCTTTACCAAGAAGGGTAAGCCCCAATTCCAGCAGACTTCATTCCCTTCCCCTCCCACTACGGCACAGCAGCAGCAGCCTAAGAATGGGGGTGGGCTTGGTGGGGGAGGGGAGAAGTGGAAAGGGGGTAAGGATGGCCAGCCGAAGGGGGGGAAAGGGGGCTTCAAGGGGAAGTGCTATGTGTGTGGACAAATAGGGCATGTTGCTAAGTACTGTCAGCAGCGGGCGGATAAGGAGGCAGACACCGGTGGAGAGGGTTCTGGAGGTAGCAGCGGAAAGGGGGGTGATGGCTCTAAGGGGAGCGGGCAGTCATCATGTGCGATGGTGAAGCCAGTTGTGGAGCAGACTCCTCTCGTTGTGCTAGAGCCTGAGGCCGGGGAGGGCTTACAGGCTGTTGCAGCTGCTGTGAAGGTGAACCCGAGCGTCGTGCTGCTTGATAGCGGATGCTCCCACCATCTCATGGGAGATCGTTCTGCCTTTGTGGAGATGAGCAGCGGCGGCAGCATTAAGCAGGTTACCGGCTTCAACGGCGCCCTTCAGGAGGTGCAGGGGCGAGGCACAGTCGCTCTTCTTGGGGAGGGGGACAGGCGTGTCTTGGTGCCGGACGTGCTGTACGTACCAGGAGTGCAGGCGAGTCTTCTCTCTGCTGGGCAGCTGCGTGATAGTGGTGTGCAGCTGCTGGATGCCGGGGATGTGACTTTGCTGCGGGCACCAGATGGATCGCTCCTTGGTCGTGCGGAGTTCAAGGGGCGTGTTCTCTGCACGAACTTCCAGCCGTGTTCGACGCAGCAGCAGGAAGGCGAAACGGTGGCACTTCGTACCTTGGCGACCGGCGTACGGTCTAAGGGGGACCTGTGGCATGCGCGTATGGCACACGTTGGTATTGATGCCATCGAGCGCACAGCGGCTCACGGGTCAGTGAAGGGCTTGGATTTGGAGAAGGGGGGCAAGTCAGGCATACCTTGTGTCTCCTGTGTTGGGGGAAAGATCACTCGTCATACCTTTCCTTCTGTGGGAGAGGAGGAGGATGAGTTGCTCGGGGTGGTGCATGCTGACCTGTGTGGCCCTTTCCGTGAAGCAGCTAAGGACGGCAGCCGCTACTTCTTGGTGCTGAAGGATCGCAAGACGCGATATGTCTGGGCCTACCCTTTGGCCCAGAAGAGTGATGCGCTGGCGGCGTTCCAGAAGTGGCTCCCGATGGCAGAGCGACAGTGCAAGACCACGGTGCAGGCGCTGCGCACTGATCGGGGTGGCGAGTTCCTGGGGCACGACTTCACGCTCTTCCTCGACGGTAAAGGCATCATCCATGACCTCACATGCCCGTACACGCCGGAGCAGAACGGGATGGCCGAGAGGGAGATGCGCAGCATTGTGGAGGCGGTGCGGACGATGTTGCTGCACATGGGTGTGCAGCATCACTGGTGGCACCTGGCGTTGGCTCAGGCCGTCTGGGTGCGCAACCGCGTGGAGCACGCCTCACTACCCTCTGGTGTGACGCCGTACGAGCTCGCCTTCCGACGCAAACCTGATGTCAGTATGGTGCGTGTTTGGGGCTGCATGCTGCAGTACATGGTACCACAGTCGCAGCGTGGGGGGAAGCTGGCGCATAAGGCTCGCTGGGGGTTGCACTTGGGTGTGTCAGCTGCGAGCAAGGGCTGGGCCGTGCTGGACTTGGAGTCCAACCGCCTCATCACCACTGTGGAAGCTGTGTTCTATGAGACCTTTTCCCTAGCAGGATGGAAGGCTTGGCATCAGCAGGAGCATGGGGGGCGTTCGATGCCCTATGAGCCCCTTCCCTCACTCTTCCCGATCACTCTCGAGGAGGCGGAGGAGGAGGAGGAGGTGGTCGCACCTCCTGCTATGCCCTATGTCCCTACCTCGGTCCCCACCCCACCTCCGCCTTCAGTCTACCTTCGTGTGATTCCCCCTGCCCCGCCTTTTTCCTCCTCACCCCCCTTGGCTTCCCCTCCTCCTCCTGTTATTCCATCTCCCCTTCCACCCTCCATCCCTCCTGCACCTGCTCCGCCCTCTTCTTCGTCTTCCACGGCGCCGCCCGTTGGTGAGGGGGGGATGGAGGTGCCACCGTCTGTGGAGATCACCGACGGGCAGCGCCTTGAGACTGAGCAGCTGTAGGACGAGAGCAGTATGGATGGAGTACAGCAGAGTGGGGGGCAGGAGACAGGGGAGCAGCAAACAGGGGAGCAGCAGATTGGGGAGCAGCAGACAGGGGAGCAGGAGATGTGGGGAATTAGAGATGGTGGTCGTGTGTTGGTTTCTGGGACGACCACTGCACCACTGCGTCGCTCCACTCGCATCACTCGTGGTGTCCCGCCTGTTCGATACGCTTGGGCTGTAGTGGTTGAGCCAGCGGGCTTGGATGACGAGGAGGAGGACGAGGAGTGGACTAACCTGGACCCGGACGTGGCAGCTGATCCTGAGAGGCAGTGGGACATAGCGAAAATGACAGTGAAGGAGGCCTTGGGCTGCTGGAAGGGAGACAAGGTGAAGGAGGCGATGGGTGAGGAGATGCGGAGCTTGATTGAGCAGGGGACGTGGGAGTTGGTTCCGCGTCCGCCAGGGGTGAATGTGATGAAGAACCGCTGGATTTTGAACACCAAGTTCCGACCCGATGGGATAGTGGAGCGTGAGAAGGCGAGGCTGGTGGTGAAGGGGTTCACGCAGGTGGCAGGGGTGGACTATGAGGAGACGTACGCCCCTGTGGGAAGCTATGTGACGGCGCGTGTGCTTCTGGCGATTGCAGCTGCACTTGATTTGGACCTGACGCAGCTCGATGTGAAGAACGCGTTCCTCCATGGCGTGCTGGACCGAGACCTTTACATGGAGCAGCCGAGCTACTACGAGGATGGGACTCCTCGTGTCTGTAAGTTGGTGAAGAGTCTGTATGGGCTCAAGCAGAGCCCGATGCTATGGTATGAGGCCTTGGATGGGGTGCTGCTTGGGGCTGGATGGAAGAAGAGCAAGGTGGATGAGGCTCTGTACTTCAAGACTGATGCTGAGGGGGAGATGTGCTGGCTGCTGGTGTATGTGGATGACCTGCTTGCTGCCAGCCGCAGTCAGAGCATGCTAGCGGAGCTGCGTGACCTGCTGCAGAGTGCCTTTCAGCTGCGGGAGATTAGCCCTGTGGAGAAATATCTGGGGTTGCAGCTGATTCGGGACAGGCCCACGAGGAGGCTGTGGCTGCACCAGGGGGCCTATGTGGACAAGGTCCATAGGCGCTTCTTTGACGGGGAGCAGCCGCTGCGAGTGCCTCGCACCCCTCTTTCCTCTGACCCTTTCAGTGTGCAGACCTTCGAGGATGTGGGATGGCAGTCTCGCCAGGAGGAGGAGTACAGGCAGAAGGTGGGATCCTTGCAGTTCGCGGCCTGTACCACCCGTTCCGACATCTCGTTCGCCTGCAGCAAGCTGGGGTCGGGCCAGACTGTGCGGAGTGATCAGCACTGGAAGGAGTTGGACCGGTGCTTGACGTACTTGGTGGGGAGCAGGGATGTGGCGCTGGAGTTTGGTGGTGGGCCGGAGTCCTTGGAGCTGGTGGGCTACGCCGATGCTGATGATGCAGGGGACAAGCAGAACAGGACCAGCACAGGTGGCTATGTCTTCGTGCTCGGGGGTGCTGCTGTCTCATGGGCGAGCCAGCGGATTCGTTGCGCCACCCTTTCCTCCACTGAGTCTGAGTACGTTGCTGCTGTGGAGGCTGGGAAGGAGGCGCGCAGGCTGCGCTTCCTGCTGGCAGAGTTTCAACTGCTGAGGAGTGAGGAGCCCACGACTCTCTTTGTGGACAACTCCTCCGCCATTTCAGTGGCAGGTGGCATGGGGCTCAAGGGGAGCCTCAAGCACATGGAGCGTCGTCACATGTGGCTGCAGCACATGGTCAAGCGCAGGAAGCTGCAGCTGCAGTACATCCCTACGAGCGAGCAGCCTGCTGACTACCTCACAAAGGCATTGCATTTCCCCGCCTTCAGTCGTTGCTTCGAGGCTGTGGGGCAGGTGCGGCTCTCGAGCGAGGGGAGTGAGACCTAGACACTCCATGATGTGGATGGTGCCATGGCCTATCCATGGCTGGTGCGGTGCGTGTTTACACTTTGAGCGTGTTTCGTTTGTGTGTATCCCTTTGTTTTGGTGTGTATGTGTGTATGCATGCCCTGTGATTATAAAGGGCCTTGCTGTAGTATGGCAGGGGAGTGTTAGAGGGCCCTACGACAGCAAGGGCCCTCGATGACCTTTGACTTGGCAGGTCGGCGCCTAACGACTGAGTCTACTCGGCACCGACGCACGAGTTCGGTGGCGGTCATTAGTGACTACGGGTGACTGTGAGCTACTGCAGCGAACTCGGCGGAATCGGTGCTAGGAATGACGAGTCTTGGGGGTCGTAGGTGCCTTGCTTGTGAGGCACGCTGCTCACTTGCTGTGTTGGCAGGAGTAGCGTGCACGGTGAGACATTCCGGTGCCGAGTTGGGTTGGAAATGTGCGGGGCGCGTTCACCCACCTGCACAGCACTTTCGTGTGGGTTGGGTTACTCGCAGCGCCACGCAACAATTGTGCAACTCTTGCTTGCCTATATATGTTTGTGTTTGCTTGTGTGTTTGATAATTGATATTGCAATTCTACTTGGCCCAAATGCTACTTCAATTCTCACAAAGTCCTTAGAGGCAAACGCTACCAAAACTCTACCAAGTTGCTGGCGCAACATCATTCCCATAGTAGAGACTCTCTCGCTATCGCTACGCTCTCTAATATATTCCTTCACACTATGCGGGAATGGTCCGCGTCAGGTTTTCTCGGAGAGGTCTTGGCAGTGAGCCTTAGCCAGCTTTTGCCAGCGGCAGACGAGCACGTGTACAATCCGCACCAGCAGCAGCCGAGATATACACTACTACACGAGCAGCATCGCTCGCATTTTATGGTGCTTCCACAGTCCGACAGGGAAAATTCAGGTGCATTGCATTGGGTGCGCCACGGCCGTTAGCCAGGTTGTTAGGACCAATAAAAACGCGTCCTTTTCAGCGGTCTAGTATTCCAACCCAGCCGTTCAAGAGCGAGCAACCTGTGACTCTTCGGCCGACAAGATGACGTTGCATAATCTCGCGCCGCCAGTCGCGCTGCTGATTCGGCTCCTGATATTTGCGTTATTCTGCGCGGTTCGAGGGGCGGCAGCAGCGGCTCCTGTGCTTGACGCCGCTCAAAGTGCGTGACTTTTAGACATCTGAAAAGACTCGTATAGAATGCCTGAACGCCGTTCAAAGTGCGTGCTGTAATAAACCTTGCGGACCCCAGGACTCGAGCCAAGGGCGTCTCAACTAAAAGGAACCTGACCTGAGGCTCCCCTGCAGGGTCAGGCCAAGCAAGGCCTATGCCAGCGTCTTGATGACGGTGCCAGCGGTCACGACGCCGAAGTCCCACCAAAACAGTTACTCCCTGCCATCACGTGCCAGGATCCCCCCCTCTCTTTTCCTTCAACTCCCCACCACTGCCAAAGACCCGCCCCTCCCTTCCCAATGTTTTTGCCTGCCAAAGATCCGTCCCTTTCCTTCCCTCATCCCTGTTAACTCTCTCGAAGGGTACACTCTGGAGAGGGTTTTCAGTGCATCGCCCGTCACCGTGGTGGAGGAGGACTACAGCTGCACCCCGGGGGAATCCTCTTTGATTGTTTGCAACGCCAAGGGGGCAGTGACCCAGCTGTGAGTGACAAGTTCCTTTGACCCAGCTGTGAGTGACAAGTTCCTTTGACCCAGCTGTGAGTGACAAGTTCCTTTGACCCAGCTGTAAGTTCCTTTGACGCGCCTCCGCCGCGATCTGGTGAACCCCCACGCCTCTCTTTCCATACGTCTACATACCTCTCTTCCGTACCTCTCTTCCACACCTCCCTTCCGTTCCTCTCTTCCGAACCTCTCTTCCATACCTCTCTTCCACACCTCTCATCATTAACCCATCTCTCTTTCTCTCTTCCGATCCTGTCACCACCTTTTCCCAAGCCTCCGCTCAGCGGCCTCCTTACCTCCTTCCTCCTTCTTCCTTCCCTTCTCCCTCCCCCGGCCCATACCCTCTCACCCCTCCCCCCCCCCCCCCCCCCCCCCCCCCCCCCTCCCGCCTTCTCCAAGCTCTCTTCTATGACTCTGATCTGCCTCGTGTGTGTGAGAAACCTGATCTGCCTCGTGTGTGTGAAAAACCTGATCTGCCTCGTGTGTGTGAAAAACCTGATCTGCCTCGTGTGTGTGAGAAACCTGATCTGCCTCGTGTGTGTGAGAAACCTGATCTGCCTCGTGTGTGTGAGAAACCTGATCTGCCTCGTGTGTGTGAGAAACCTGATCTGCCTCGTGTGTACGACCCTTTTGATCTCTCCCAACTTTGTTCTTGAGAGTATGCTTTGAGCCTAGAGTCACAGTTGAGACTCCCCCCCCCCCCCCCCACCCCCCCTCTTCTTCCTCCTCCTCCTCCTCCTCCTCCTCCTCCTCCTCCTCCTCCTCCTCCTCCTCCTCCTCCTCCTCCTCCTCCTCTTGCTCCTCCATCCCCCCCCACCCTTCCCGCCTATTCCCGCCTCCTCCCGCGTCCCTCCCCCCCCACCCCCTTTCCCCCCTTCCCCATCTCCTCCCTCCCCCCACCCAAGAAGCAAAGAATCTTCCGACCCTCGTGGCTTCTCTCCCCCCCTCCAGGTCTCTCTACGCCATGTCTGAGGTGCCTTCCGAGATTCTCCGACTCTCGTGTTTTGAGTCGACTCAAAACACTTTCCGACCCCTCTTGGCTTCTCTCCCCCCCTCCAGGTCTCTCTACACCATGTCTGAGGTGCCTTCCGAGATTCTCCAACTCTCACGCCTGGAGTCACTGTGAGGGTCGTTTCGATGACTCTAGACTAGGGTAGAGCATTCGCTGAGGCTTGTTGCGACCGAAACCATTCAAGCAACATACCTTGAGTGACCGTGAGAGACGTTGCAAGCTATTTTTATTACGGTATGGTTTGTACGCAACATAGAAATACGCTTAAGTACGCTTGTGCAGGCCGATGGGGATAAAAAGAAAAGGGACACTAGATGATGTCGTGAACATAACCCATCTTCAAATCCTCACTCTGTTTGAGTTTCAAACTCTAACTTCCACTCCCCGCCATCCGCAGGCCACCGCATCCAACCTCCAAACCCAACCCTCCCCTCTCTACATCTTGTACTCACCTGCTAGAAGTAGATGACCACTATTGATTTGCTTCCATAGGAGCTATTCCATGATGGAATGGCTCTATCCGAGCCAGCTTGTCTCTCCTCAGCTCGTCTCAATCGGAGAGGCTCGGGCCATTTAGGTAAGGTTGATGCCCTAAATAAAGAGTGGTATTGTTCGCAATGGGTTTTATTTTTTCAATGGCAAGCATCGAGGGAGTCATCAACCCTAAACACCACAGAATGGGTGTTTAGGGTTGATGCCTTTTCTCCATGTTTGTTTTTTATTGAGCAGGTAAAAAACAACAATGGGTAATTACTGTTCTTTCCAACAGTAAAAACCAATTGGCCTCTAACATTCTGGCAGGTGGCCCACTGACCATCGACCTGCGTAGAAAGGAGCTAATTCTGCGCGCTGAGCGAAAAACCGGCAGAACCCTGTGCCTGAAGCTACAGTGATGCGCTTTTGGCGTATAGTTTCAGTAAGTGTGCATGATCAACTCAAAACCCTCCTAGAATCCATACAGCTTTAATTGCGAGATGATGTGGGGTGTCAAAATCTTCACGTGGCGTGTGATGAACTATGATGAGGTAGTGACGATCCATGGTATGTTTCGCTAGAACATATGACCAGATGTGACTACACAGTAATTTTGTAATTACATTTAACCTTTTTATGACGACTCATTTAGTTCACCTTTGGCTTCACCATGTGCTCGACATCACAGCCCACCTAGGTGCGGGAGGAACCAACCGAACTCAAAGGTTCATACACTCGGACTACAGTAAAACACGGGCGAATGCGGGATCGCTTCCGCCCGCTCGCAGATCCGATCTGCCCGCGGGCAAAACAAAACTAAAACCCAATCCGGGCAGGCAGGCGTTGGACCGCTACCTGTTGACGTTGAAACCATCTCGACACCGCGCCCTTTGACGTCACAAGCCTTTCCGGCCTCGACACCACAACCCTTGATGTCACGAGCCATACTGGTCTCTACAGCGCCCACTTTGACGCAGCAGCCGCAGCGTTCTCGACAGAACTACCGGGGTTTTTTCAAGCCACACCGGGCTCGACAGCGCCACCCTCGACGACACGAGACATACCAATCGCTTCAGTGGCCCCTTCGACGTCACGAGCCATACCGGTTATGAAACCGCCCGCCTCGACGTTGCGAGCCATACCGGTATCTACAGCGCCCCCTTCGACGTCACGATCCATACCGGTAGTGGTTGAGCCAGTAGCGACGGACCACCTTTCGTCGGACCGTCCGGTCAGTGTCGAAGTGGGGGGTGCACCGACCGAAGTCCCTTTGACGGCGCAATCAATACCTATAGTGGTAGAGCCGATAACGGCAACAACCCCCCCCTCAACACAGGAACCGACAAACCAGGCAGCACCATCATTGACAGCAGACCGCTCGACAACACAAACGGAACCAGTGGCTGGTGACCCGAGCTCGACTGATGGGAGACGTAGGAGGAGGGAACGGGTGTTATGGATGAGGTTCGGCCACCACCCCCAACAGCTGGTACATCCGCTTCGCGAGCCAAAGCGCCAAAGAGCTCGTCAAAAAGACCCAGCAAAGCGGACATAGCCAGCCACGTCCCTGATGAGACGGATGATGCGGAGGATCAGCCGGGAGAACAGCACGAGGCGGACGATGTCAAAGAGGTGGAACCCCTGCGCCCTGCAGCGGCAAATATATCAGAAGAGGATGCCGCGCACATTCTCGGCGACGAACAGGGCGAAAAAAATCCGTACTTGGCGACGGGAACAGTGAAACGTAAGATTCACCGTTGTGAGCTTCCACTGCTGGGAATCGACCAGAATTCCACTCGCCCAAACTATGTCTCGGGTTTCATGCATTACAAGGCTTGGGCCTGTAAAACTCTGGCCCCGGAAAAATGCAACGGAGTGCCCGTCGAGAAGCAGGTGACGAACGAGGACGAGGTCGGGAGAGAGATAGGCAAGGAATTAGGGACGGGGTGGAGGGCGGCTCTCCGTAACGAGGAGCACCTGCATGGGCCTCGTACGTCGAAATGGCGCTTGCGAGCGTACGTCGATTATTTGTGGATGGAGACCGACAAGCAGGCGGCTTCCCTGGACACCGGGCGGACCAGAATTGCGGGAAGGAAGCCGAAAAAATGCACCCCCCCCGATGATGCTGGCGCGCCTTACTGCGCTAGCATGCTTATACAGAGTAGAGGCCGTACTCTACGATGAACCACTCACAAAGCCCATGGATGATATCGCAGAAGCTCGACAACTACTAGCGATCAAGCTGCGACAATTGTACGATCATCAGTTCGAGTAAGTGCGCTTCCCTTTTCCGTCTGCGATATGTTCCCTCTCGCTATCACACTCATGCATAGCTGTATTTCCCCACTCGATGCAGGAGGTGCGTCGACCCGCACCGGGGCTCGCTCGACGATGTCTACTCGGAGGAGAAGTTCAGGGTTCTCGTTTCCGACATGCTGCCGCACTGGGCCAGAGTGTATTTCAGGTCGTCGATAGCGTACCCCAGTCAGTCGCTGTGGAAGGCCTTAGCTGTGAGGGTGATGATTCTGATGGCGCATCACATGCTGGGCAGGGGGATCAGCATCCTTACGATGAGCTACTGCAATATATTCACTCACGTCCTTCTGCCGATCACGAAGAACAAGGGGGAATCGTCGATCCTCGTTCTCGTGGTCGCTTGTCGCAATTCGAAGACCATCAAAGACAACAAGCTCGGCCACCAGTACCTGACTCGGCACATGGACTACCAGCAGTGCGGCTTTGGAGTGGTTTTCCTGTGGTTACACTTCCTCTTCGACCTCGTCCCTCTCTACTACAACGACGACAAGATCGTGCCCCCCTTGGATTTTTCTGACCCAGAAGCCTGGTCGAAGAAGCACCTGTTTTTCGCCCTCTTTAACAAATAGAAAAAAGAGATGCCGTACCCGACGCACAACAAATGGGTAACCTGGGCAATGAACAACGAGGTGTGGATCCTGTCGAAAGTCACGCACATCTTTCGACGATCGGCTGCACACATCCTCGCTGGCAAGAACTGTGACCTCGACACCATCGCGCAGCTGGGTCAATGGGACATGAACGAGATGCGCAGGTCGTACGTCTTAGGGGTCCCACGAAAGGCCATCCAGCTGCAAGCGGGATTCTCTGAGGATCCGGGCGACTACTACATCGGAAGATCGAAGACCAAAGTGCCCCAGAAGGTCTTGAAGGTTATCGAAGAGCACATCTTCCCTAACGCAGAGCAGTGGCTCATCCAGGTATGGATATGTCGAGCGCTTCGCGTGGACGTCAAACGCAAATGTTGGTTGGGCTCTTACTGTGCGTCACCACGTTCGTTTTTTGTCAGGTGCAGGAGTGGAACAACCAGCAGGACAAGGAACATATGCACTACGCAGGGAAGAGTTTCTTGGAGGCCCTGCAAGCCGCACGTATGCCGGTCGCCAAGGATCTCGCAATGTACTACGTCCATTGTGACGACCACCCAATCGACGGAGTGACCGTTTGCAACTGTGAGCGTCACCCTTACGTCCAGATGTCGGGTTTGTGCAAGGACAAAGATTTCCAGACATGGGCGTTCGACGTGTACACCCTCGACAAGTACGGCATCGACATGCGGAACAATCCAACGATGTCGACAGCGGCGGTACGTACGTCCTACCAGATCTCCAATCGACGAATTTGCAGCAGCCCACTCATTACACGAGCTCTTATGTGCAGGACGTATCTGTGAAGCTCAACACCAAACACCTCATCACGCAACTGCGGGGCGGGATCAACTTCCACAAAGAGGAGGGAGGCAAACAGAAGATCCAGATCAACAACCTCGAGAAGCAAGTCGACACATTGGAGCTCGAGAAGGGAGCGTTGCAAGCGAAATTGGAGGCAAAGGCAGAGGCGTTCGCGCAACTCAAAAAAGCGTTCGACGCACTGAAAAATACCGCGGCGACAAGCGCAGCTGCAAATTCGGGGGGGAGCGAGAGTGTGCCGCAGACGGCGACCGAGGAAGCCACCCCGGCTCCATAACAATCCCAACAAGAAACACCCTCTCGACAGAGCGTGGGAAGCCAGCTCAACCAGGCATTCTTCGATGCGGTGGTGTGGCCGTGGTGCAATTGTGAGACCGTGCGCAGGCGTGGTCGTACTGGGACGGGCCAAGCTACTGAACAACGGGCACAGTCTTCAACAGGCTTAGAAGAGGGGTTTCGCCGTCAATTTTTGCAAGTTCACTCCGACTCCACCGGCCGTACCCCCCGAAGAGGAGGGCCAGCCAAAAGAAAAGCCACCAACCGCAAAAGCTATCGAGAAGAAATTGCGGAAAATGGAGGTTGTTATGAAGGCCGTCGAGCTTTTCCGGATCAACGATAGCAGCGCGGCTACGTCGACGGTCATCGAAAAGCTGGACTCAATTGTCAACGTGCACTCGATCAACATGCTAGCGGAGGGCCTCGCTCTTAATGAGGATTCTGGGAAACAGCTCACGAAGAAGTGCAAAGTCGAGTCTGCAGACGAAAACCAGAAGGACGAGGACCGTCTCAGAATCACGCTGGAGCTTATTCGCGTCGAACTCCGCACCACATACTGGGCGGAGAAGGTGTTCAAGGAAAAATGGGAGGAGTTCACGAGAACATTGGGCGCTGGCCCTAGTTCGACGGGCAACCATGAAACTGGGGGATCCTAGAGTAGGTTTTTCAAGTATGGTTGACTTTGCATGTTCCCCTAATGAACATTGTGAGACCACCTTGACCATCACAAGTTTAGCCCTACAAATCGACACAGTCGACAAGGAACAAAGGTCGAAAAGCAATGCAATGCACACATCTGTCAAATCATCCAAAACAGGAACAAGACAAATATCTGTCGAAACATGTAGAAACCCCCACATAGTGCACCCGCCTATACTACTCCCCTGGCCCGCTTGTCCCCGCCCCGCTAGCATCCTCCTCGCCTTGCTTCGCCTTGCTCTTTTCTTCCAGCATGGCCAGGCTCCCATAGCCCGCGTCCTCCAGCAAACGAGCAGCATATCAACAGCTGCACCATTGCATACAGACCTGAGCTGCCACGCGCACCATCTGCAACAGGGTGGCGTTACTGGAGCCGAGGTCTTCGACAGCCGACGAATAAAGCAGATCGGGCCAATGCTTGGCCGGGACCGTCGTGCCCACGTGCAAAAGTACAGACACAAGCGCGGCCATGGCAGCTGCACTAGCCAGGTTCGCCATCTCCGGGCCGTAGAGGGCTGCGTTTGCGGCAGCTAGGGCTTCTTTCTGAATAGCTTCCCTGGGCATCTTCCTGCATGCCGCCCACAAGCTTGCCACAGCTGCTGCAACGGACATCATGTGCGGCGTCGCTTGCATTTTCTGCGGTACTGGATAAATCTGGTTCCCGTGCTTGTGGCCAAGCGTCGCAACCTTCCCAATAGTCGCGCACATAGAAATTCCCCAGTTGGTTCCTGCTCTCTCTTCCGTCCTGGCCGTCGCCAGCAGCGACAGAAAACTGCACATCGAAACATATGCGTATGTCAGACAAAACGACTTTGACAAAACCGATACACGACTTCCACAGTAAAACGAAACGACTTCGACAGAACTCGCTCATCTAAACGACACTGCCCTTGTTCTTGCGCCACGCTCCACACTCCGGTCGGCAAACTAGCGGCGACATCGAGATACTCCTTCCAATCCTTTGCATCATCCGCCGTGAACCCCTCGTACTTCTCGAGTTTTATGTCGGGGAAGTAAACGCGCCAGCAGATGGCCGTACATAACTTTTGGTCCTCCACCGTTTCAAAATTGCCCAGGAACCGCTTCCTCCCGCCTACGGTCTGCTCGGAAACGGGCCTCCCCTTCCGCAGCCACATGCCCGGGCCTTTGAAAGAAGCTATGGTATCCCTCGTCTTGCCTTGGGCGTCCGGCGGAGGAGGTGGGGCGTAGCCGAGCACCGTGGCCTTTTTTGCCTTCTCCTGTCGACCAGCAACGACGGTAGACGCCTTCTCGACAGGAGCTTGGCCAAGGAGGCTGCCCAGCTCCACCACGTCACTTCTCTCTGTAGCCTCTGCAGCACGCTTCGTCGACTTCCTCACTGCATGCCTTTTCTTCGACGCAGAAGGGGAGGCGCATGGACCAGGAGGAGGGGAACCCGGTTCGCTAAGCGGACGCCACCTAGGACGGGAGCAGCGACAGGAGCAACGGGAGGGGTAGAGGAAGACACCCTCTTTCCCACAAGCTCGACAGGACGACCAATAATACCAAGCTGCGCAGCTGAGTCGGCCATTGTCTTCAACAGCAACCGGGCAGCGACGACGTCCTGGCTGGGAGCACCCCATGTCTCCCCCGCTCCTTTCCCCATAGCGCCGCCAGACGGGGTAGGGGCACCTCGCTTTCCCACGGCTCCTTTCCCGGCCGAGGCGACGAACTCGATTGGGGCACCACTTTTCTCCCCCGCAACCACTCCTTTCCCACCCTTTTTCCCGAGGCCCTGCAGCATGTAACGCAGCGGAGCAAACGCATCAGGTGGAGGCTTCGGAGCCGCTTCGGAGGTCTTCGCATGTGGCGAGTGTTCGAGTACGATGACCTCCTGGTCCTCGCCGGACTTGGCGACGGGATGACGGGCACGCGGCAGTGGGGATGCTACCAGGCTGCCGACATGTCCTCCCACTGACAAAGAAGGGGGAACCGAGCACTCATGAACTCGAGGCTCAACCCCGCTGCAAACATCAGCCGCCCCCTCCTGACGCGACCTCGTCGACGGGCCCGCCGAGCCCCGAAACCCTCTCGCCACCGCTTCTGTGAGGACTTCCAACCTGCCAGCTTCAGCTTCTTCATACCCTTTTCTCACAATGTCCTTCAACTCCTTCATGCTCTCTGGCGGGAGGGTCGAGTAGAATAAGTCCTCCTTGACGGCTTTCTCAATACCCTTCATGACAGAATCAACTAACCGCTCCTCGACCTGCTTCAGCTGCTTCTCGACGGCGTCCTCGCTAGCTTTTGTAATGGCATCTGCCAGCCCCTCGATGATTTTCCCGCTCATCTCGTCGACCTTCGTGCGCGCCTCTTCCAACAGCTTCCTCTCCTCCGCGATGCCTTTTACAGCGTCGGCGCACTGCTTCAGCGTGCTCTTCGACGACTCCGAAAACATATTCCAGCTCATCCGAAAATCCGCTGCAAGCTTGTTGAAAACACCGGCTTGCTCACTGTGCTTTGCAAAAACGTCGGCGACGAGCTTCTTCTGCGACGCCTCGACCTCTGCGACCCTCTCCAGTAGCTCGACGAGATGGCCTCCGGATGAAATGGCCGACGTCGATTGTCCCACCGTCGAAGGGCGCCCGGTCGAAGGGCACGCCTGTCCGCTGCCACCGGCCGTGCGGTGTCTTCTTGTTACGGCGACCTATCGCTTCTCTCCTCGATGACCCTCCTGCGCAGCCTCCCCACCCTCCTGCTCCTGCCCTCTCGCCCCACCCTCCTGCGCAGCCGCCACGCCCTCCTGATGCTGCCCTCCTGCCCCACCCTCCTGCGTAGCTGCCACACCCTCCTGCTGCTGCACTCCTACCCCACCCTCCTGCGCAGCCGCTCCGCCCTCCTGCTCCTTGACAGCCCCATTGTCCCCCGTCACCTGTTGCTCGATATGCTCCACCTGCTCGTCCACCTGCTCCCCGAGCACCACTCCTTGCTCCTCTGTATGCTCTGTCCCACCTAGATGTTCCCTTTCTCCTTTGCCCTCGCCGTCGTGCTCGACCGAGGCATCGTTCGAGCTCGAGTCGGAGCTTGATTCCGAGCTCGAGCCCTCGTTCTCATTCGCATCGCCGCCCGGGCCGCTCACCCCGTGCTGAGCTTGCTTCGAGGTATCCTCCTCGATCTCCTCCTCCTCGTATTCATACTCAACCACGACGCGTGGCGTCCCCTCACCTCCTCCCTCGTGTTCGTCACCCCCTCCTACTTCTACTCTCTCCGCCACCTCGCCCATATTTTTCCAAAACAGCTTGACCATGAACGACGGAAGCATTTGGGGGCCAGGGCCCGTTCTCCCGAGACTCACGAGCGCGCCCTCCCGAGGCGTAATAATGAAATTGTCCCAGTTTGATAGAATCCTTCGCACTCTGTGCACGACACAAGCTCCCGCGCCGGGTTCATTGGGGCTCAACAGGGGCGTTGTCGTCTATGACGGGTAGAAAACACACGTAAGCGACAAAACACATGCTCGACGAAAACAATGGGGGTCTAAGGTGGGCTTACCAGTTTATCGAAACTAGTGATCATGTGCAAACGCCGGTCGATGTCGTCCAGCACCCCCTGCTCGTGCTCGATCACAACCCACTGGGTCATCGCGTACTCGGCACGAAGTTGCTTCTTCATCCAACTGCAACGCAACGGATAGGAGAGTAAGATTGTCGAGAACGGCAAGTCGACAGCAGGGTGGCAAATCGGTCACTCACACGAGAACTTCATGCGCCAGCGAAGATTGGTGGTTCACCGCGGGAAACTTGTCTTTCAAATCGAAGTGCATCATTCGAGTTCGACAGCCACGGTGCCTCGGAACCAGCAGATCGTCGGGCCGCGATACCGCAAACAGGCTCGAGTGGGAGAACGGTGCCAAAATCAGGCTGCATGCAGAGCGAATGCACGTGAGCACGTGTTTAGGGCTAAACACGGAGCACGCAAGGCGACGGGAGAGTGTCGAACTCACGAGGTCCGCAGCACAATGAGAACCACTTGCTTGCCGAGCAGGCCGTCGACGTGCTCATTCGCAAAAGCGATCGGTGTGGGACGCGCCATCTCTTCATGCGCACGCGTCGAAGTCACGCTCGACAGCTTGGCGAGCTGCTCGACGGACAGCAGCTCAGTTGAAAACAGGCTGCACTGAAAGCTAAGGCACTGTCAGCAACGGGAAAACATAGCAAACCGAAAATGCTCGACAGGAAACGTACACAACGCCCGCGTTGAGCATCCTCTCGTCGAACTCCATCCTCGGCGCCTTGCTAAGGTCATTCAACTGGTCTTCTAACACCTCCACTTCGATCCCGCCTGCGGTTAAAATTAGGCCACGGCGAACCGTCGGCTCGTTCACGACGGGTAGGGAGGCGGGGCCCGTAGCCATGGCAGGCCTAGCAGTAGGGAGGGCGGGAGCGCAGGAAAGTTGGGAACTAGGGAGTAGGAAGGGGGAAGAAAAACTCAGAGAAAACAGCAACAAAATTAGAACGCTCTCAAGGTTTAGCTGGTTGCCATCCCCCCCATTGAGACAGACTCGGGTGCAAGGGCGACGAGGCAGGGCGCGTTCCGCGACGGCGGGAGGAGGAGCTGTTCGCAGTGGGCGACGGGGCCCTATTGGCCTCGACGTGAAACTTGTTGGTTGCATGAGGTGGGGCGCCTTGCATGCAGCTGAAAGGCCCCTTTCAAGGAGCGGGAGGGGGCGTTCGACACGTCACCAGGGTCGAGCGCCAAACGAAACGGGCCCATTGAGGGCGAGAGTGGTGCAGTGCGGCGTAGATGGGCGTCGCTTCCGTCTGCTCGCGAAATTTCGTGGACGGGTTCCGTCGGCGAGGCGACGCAAGGCGAGGGTTCCGTGGGTTACCAGACGGAACCCGTCTACGAACTGAGGGTGGGGTTGGGTTCGGTTGGGGGGGACCACTGCCAGCTCGAGGGCGCCGGTCGCTGGCGTCATGTGCAGCTGGCGCCAGCTGGGGGTCCCCGTTTTCAGGTTGGGGGGGGGGGGGGGGGGGGGGGGTCGGCTCCCGCCCCTCGCGTGCGCCCCTAGGCGATTGCGGGAAAATGGAAATCCCTGGAGGGAAATCCTGCAGGGGCGAAGGGGGGTTTCTCGAGGGATTCGGCCGACAGCTTCCCGAAGCAATTGTTCGGAATCGATAGTGATCGATAGATTGGGTCAGATCGGACCTCCTGGCGACACTCACGACAAATAACTTACCTATTTACATTTCGCTTAACTCGTAGCTACAGTATAATTGTGCAATGCAAAGCCATGCACACTACAAAAGAGAGCTAGGACGTAATCGCCTAGTATTATGGAAAATCGTCGAGTTTCGCTAAGACTAGTGCGGAAGGAACGTGGCACCAGCGAGGAAAAGTCAACGATGGTACTAAATAATTCTGCGAAATTAACTCACCAGATCGCTCGGCGCACAGAAAATCGTGGATTGAAAGATTGAGCGAGGATTGCTCTAAAGTGCCAAAACAGGTACAACGTGAGCGAGGGCATGAGCGAACATGTATAGCGAACAAGTAAAACGGTAATGCGGTGCACGCGAGCTATCTAATGCGATGATGGCAACGAGGTTTGGGCTAGTCTCGAAGCATAGGCCGACTTAGCCAAATCTAACAGTGCGTTGTTCCGTACATGTTACTCTCGCAGTGGCGAGCACCGTTAAGGCTGAGACGGGCGAAGAATGGTCGAGCGTTAAACGTGTTATGATAGTGTGTGGTAAGGCCTCTGATAAGTTCCCCTATTCTACCCCCCTCCACAAGAAGCTCCTCCTCTAAGTGAGAACGTGCAAATCGCCGAATCACTGGGTTCGTAAGTACACTGGAGGACGTGGTTGTTTTCGATGTTGCCAAAGGGCACCCAGCTGTCTTCTGTGGGCGTGCAATCCTTCTACTGGACGAGGAATTCAACACTCCGAGATCCCTGGGGGTGGCTAATCCGATGGCTCAGATTTTTTGGGTTCGACAATGGGCTTCGATGCTGGGCGCGTCTTTGACGATGGTCGGTGCCGTGGCAATGGGCTGATTGTCGGGATGTAAAGGCGCAACTGGCTACCGTGGGCTGACATACCAGACTACGGGAACAAGAGATGAGAGGTGACGGGCGTGATCATGTGGCTGGTCTAAAACAGGCCACATTATTGCGGTCGTAATCTTGGCACGATGGCCAGGCGAAGGTTCTGGGTGTCAAGCAGCACAAAGTTTCCTGACTGGTACGTTACGATGCGGTGGTGGCGATCGGCATTTCTTTTAGCGATGATGTTGGGTTTTTTTTTTTTTTTTTTTTTTTTTTCGCATCTGCTGCGAGGGTCTTGGGATCTTGCAAAATCTCGGTGAACTGTTGCGTGCGTGGTGTCTGGTTGGACGGGTTTGGCATCATGGCCACGATAAGATTCTACCCGTAACTCATCTAAAACGGTGACTGATGCGTCATTCTTGACGTGTCGTTGTTTTACTCGAACTCAATCAACGATAGTTGATGCTCCCGTGCTGGGGGGTCGTCACACTTAGCGCGAATCAGCTTCTCCATGGTCTAATTTGTTCGTTTTGTCTGTCAGTCGGTCTTAAAGTGGTAGGATGAGCTGAACTCCAGGTATGTCCCAAACTGATCCCAAAGGATTTTCCAGAAGTTGCTGGTGAACTTCGTGTATCTCTCACCGATGATGATGGCTGCTATCCCGTGAAGTCGAACGACGGTTATGATGAACAGGCGAGCGGTTTCTTCGGCTAAGATGGACTTCTTGCATGCAGCAAATGAGCCATCTTCATCAACCTGTCGCGCGTCATCACTACCAGGGCTCGTTGATAACCCCGTGACGAAATCCATGGTCACCTGCTGCCATGCTCATTCTGGTGGTGGTATCGGCTGCAGCTGATCGGAGATTTGGCCCCACCCTCGCTTGAGCGAAGCCAACGTTGTTGACCGACGTGCAAGGTGTGCAGCCAGCTACACTTTGTGGTTGGCGCCGACTTCGGCGGTTAGCCAACTTCGGAGAAGCCGGCCACTGAAAAGCCGACTTCAGCGAACGGCGAAGCCGACTGTTGGTCGACACTGATTTGGAGGGGCAAGTCGGCTTGGGCAAAGCCGGCTTGATTAGCCGACTTTGACGGTTAGCTGACTTCAGTGAAGTCGACCACAGCAAAGCCGACTTTGGCTAAGCTGGCCATGGCGTAGGCCGACGTAGTGAAGTCGGTGGCTGACGAAAGTGTTTATCGACATGACGCCGACTTGCAGGCGCCGATCTATGGGAAGTCGGCGGCCTCCTGTCGTCGACCGAGCAACCTGGCCGACAAAGTTTTTTGGGGGCTCGCGGACGTCGTCCACGTGATTTTGGCAAAGCCGGCCCTCATGGCAACATCACGTGCCCACGAGGTCGACGTGGCACATCTGGCGCAACTGTCGGCACGTGGCCGACTTGGGACATAGGAATTGGGTGTTGGCCCCGCCCTTGCTTGGGCAAAGCCGACTTTGTGGTCAGGTTCGCGGGAGGCGTGGCTGACCGCCCTGTAGAGGTCGGCGCATGCAGGTCGACGGAGTTGGTCGACCTGCGGAGTTGGTCGACCTGTAGCCGTCGACGAGACTCGGCGGCCTATTTCAACAGGGAGGTCGACGAAGGTGGTCATCGACCTATGCGCAAGACTTTCGAGGGGCCATCGAAGATGGGAGTTTGACGGTAGCAACTGACCGAGTTGGTCGACGGAGGGATCCGTCGACCCAGGTGTTCTTTGACAGAGTGATGATCGACGAGGGAGGTCGTCGACCAGGGTGCTGGTTGGTCGACCCGGTCGACCGAGTAACCTCTTTGACGGGATTCTGCGGAGGCACGCGAGGCTCTTCGAGGTGCGATGGCGAAGGCGAGGTCGGGTTGGTACCCCAAGGTTGACATGGCTCTTCAAGCGCAACTGTCGGCACGTGGTCGGCTGGGACCTGCGCGACGGTGTACAACGTGCTCGACCGTCGCCGTGCACCTTCGATGTGGTTGTGCACCTGAGCTACTTTCACCTGCGGATGTAACAGTGGCACACCGCTCTGCTGCAGCGTTGGCAGACTTCCTTGGTGCAGCGTTGGCAAGCCGCCGACTTGCTTTGTTGGTAGGTCTCCTCTCTGCAATGCTGTCGCGGTTCCTCTATGCAACGCTGGCAGATGTCAACCTTTCTGGGCTGGTGGTCGACCAGCTTGTCTGCAGGGTTGCTAGGTTTCTGATGTAGTCATTCTTACCATTGCTTGTCCAACCATTGTGAAACTCTTGCCAACTTTCACCGTGAATGCACAAGTGTTAGAGAATGCTA